ATCTATTTAAAGGCAAGGTAACGCTCATGTGAAATTCCTAAATCTCGTAAAGAGCTTAATCAACTAAACTAAAAAAAAAAAAATTCATTGAACCAAAGAAATATTTCTTTAATTCGAAATGTATCGTCCAATTATGATGGCGTTTGAAAATGTTTTCCCTCCAGACATTTTTTAATGGGATTATTCTTCCCAACGTAGATATTCGGGGGAAAAGTTTCAGTTCCCCCAATGTCCAGGGTTTCCTCCAGTTAGGAGCTCGCCGCTAAAAATACTGCCAGTCTAAATAAGAGAATCGCGAGACGCATTCCTGGATGGCCCGTTCTATTAGGAATCCCGAAAAGCGCGAATGAGTCTCGTTTCTTTTAAGCATTCCGCGAAAATGGGGAAGGGAGACTCGCGACCGAGAGGTGAAATGCCGAAAGTCACGGGCGAGAAATAGAATCAGGCGGAGAGTCTCACCGACTTTACTCGATTCGAAGAAAATCCAGCACAGTCGCTCTTACATATATAAATATTTTTTAAACCTTACCAATTATTATTATAAATAAATAAATATGTACCTATATATTATTGGAGAGTCGGCGATAAAAAAAAAAATGTGAGAATTGCGAAACCGAGTGGACGTTGTCGAGCGTTGTCCCCCGAATGTCGACAAGACCTAGAGAACAGCAGGTTGGAAAAGAGCCGTAACAATCTAGCACGTGCGATCGCTCAATGCGGGAGTAATTAATGGTCGGCGGGCTGCGTAAATCGCAATGATAAAATGCAACGCGGAAATGAACCGTTCGGCTCTATTTTACGAATGTCCGCCATTCCGCAACCAGTTCGCGCGTTCGGCTCCCGGAACACGTCGAGTGCCAAAGATCTGTACAAACGTTGAACAATGGGCCTCATTACCTGAGCTTTCTAACCGCTGATAACGCCACTGTGAAGAGAGACGTTTAATATCGTTTGATATCATTTTAATCGCAGACCCTCGCGATCTCCTTAAAAAAATTATACAAACTAGGAGGAATAAATAGAAAAAAAAAATTCAAGCCTGCCAATTTTAAGGACTAAAGTGGAGCATCGTGTTCCTATCCGAGTTATGAATTGTTTATACTACGTCGAAACCCATTTAAGACCTGCAATTAGAGGTTTCGGGACTAAGATTCCGATTTGCGCGACACTCTACGCTCTTTCAGCGACCAAAAGACTCGGCTCCCTTCGAGGCAGGTGCGATAAGAGATAATCGTGATAAATAGGGAAGGTGGGCAGGAAAACTGGGACACGGGGAACTGCATATCTAGATCCTTTGCCAAAGGATCTAGGACGAGGCTTCGTGCGTGCAAACACCTATAAAGCGTGGCAAACGGGAAGAGGTTTCAGAACTCGTCCTCACAGCCGGTGTATGTATCTCTTCCCTGCATCTGCACTTTTCAGGGAAAAATCAGGCGACCTGCCCCAGAGATCTCGGGGTGGAATATGAAAACTGGAGTAGCCAAAATATTTTTCCCTCCTGGCCGAGATCCCGGGCAATTGGTTCGAGACGACAGGTACACATTGCACGTTCATAAACAAAAGATCCAGAGAAAAAGCAGACTCGTATGCTTCCGGCGTATTGCCCTCGACATTCCACGATGCACTATCCCTAATTGCATAACGATATTATTTAAAGTCTCGTTAAGGCGCACCTGCATGCGGATTAGGTCGCGAGATTGCACCTCGCAAGAGGCGACCTTACTTGCATCCTTCCGATGCACTTAGTGCACCGGGCGCAATGGTAAGGAGAGAAGTCGCGAGGAAAATTGCAGAGCGAGCGATAACGCGTTTTACCATTCCCCCCACTTTTTTTTTCCAGTAATTTGTTAACTCATTAATTTGCTTATATATTCCTTTATCGAGCCACCCTGACTGGATTGAGCAATTTTTTTTTTTTCCCCCTCCTAATGCAGAAATTTCATCAAGTGTCCTAAAATGGATGCATGACAGCGGTACCGTAGATGGAGCCGGAATAGATAATCGAAGTTATGCGAGTAATTGAGCCATGCACTTCTTGGAGGAGCAGTTAAGGAACCGATGACCATTTCTACGACGGTTTTAAGCTCACCTTATAAGGGGCCGCGATCGTCTCGGAGGCTAACGTGGACGCCCCTTTAATTTCATTTCCTCCGCGCGACATTGCCGCTCTAAACGGCGCAATTAACATAATAGCTTACTTTGCCGCTTCGCAATAATTTGACGTCCCGCTTTCTACGCGTGCCATAACTCATCGCCCCGCTTCGGGAAATCTCAATCTCAAAGGCTGCGCATGCCGGGAGAAAAATGATTTATTCGGAAATCCCAGGGCAGATAATGAATATGACTCTCTATCGAGTCTCTTCTACTTTCCAACGAGATTCCTCGAGGTGTATATATATATATTTTTTTAAAGAGCGCAGAAAAATGAAACGTGATAAGAAATCGATTATCTAACTCGAAATGTGAGGCACCCCTTTTTAATTTTTTTAATTTTAATTTCAAGTTTAATTAAAAAAAATATATATACATATATGTCATCCCCATAGAAAATGAAAAAAGACCGAATTCGTTCGTCGCACCTTACCAATTCACGGCTGAAGCAATTAGGCCGAGTACTCTAGGTGCAATGAGAGCTCTAATGCCGTGCACCCGAAGTCGGTGCAGATATTCCCGTTCGGCTCTAGTCAGCGATTTAACGTGTAATCGCTTACTCGGACCGTGGAAGAGACGCATAAATGAAAAAAAAAAAAAAAAGACAAAATTCGTTCGACGCACCTTACAAATTCACGACTGAAGCAATTAGGCCGAGTACTCGAAGTGCAATGAGAGCTCTAATGCCGTGCACCCGAAGTCGGTGCAGATATTCCCGTTTGGCTCTAGTCAGCGATTTAACGTGTAATCGCTTACTCGGACCGTGGAAGAGACGCATAAATGAAAAAAAAAAAAAAAAGACCAAATTCGTTCGACGCACTTTACAAATTCACAGCTGAAGCAATTAGGCCGAGTACTCGAAGTGCAACGAGAGCTCTCTAATGCCATGCACCCGAAGTCGGTGCAGATATTCCCGTTCGGCCCTGGTCGGCGATTTAACGTGTAATCGCTTACTCGGCCCGCGAGAGAGACGCATAAATGGAGCTTCCGCGTTTGCGGTCCATCCCTAAATCCGGTAACGGGGCCGCATGTATCTACCGGGCACGCGATGATGCACGCGATGATGCACGCGAGGGTGCACACGAGGGTGCACGCGAGGCTGCACACGATGTAGGATGCTCTAGAGCCGCATTTGCAGGGGTTTAATCAGTCCGCGTTCCCACTTCTCGGCCCTCTCTGTCTCTCCTCCCCTTGATGTCTTTTTTGCTCCGGTTTTGTCGTACGCGGTATCGCCCCGACACGCGTCTAACTTTTCGCGTCCCGTGATTGCGTGGCCGAGGGAATCAATGGGTGCTTTCTTTCTCATTTGTCTCGCGAGAGAATGCCGACGTTTCCGTGTCGCTTTCCGCTTTCCCTCCTGTACAGGAGGGAGATAGGGCCGCGGGGAAACCGCAGCAGAAACCGGCTAATTTCGTCACACTTTTCACCGTTCTTCCAATTATTTTTTATTTCATTTTTCAAATGGCATAAAATGTCGGAAGGGGTGCGGAACGATTTTCCTTTTTTTAATTAGTCTACGGTAAAAGTAGCTCGCGGATAAGTGCAGCCGATAAGACGATACCGTTTATCGTCTGGCATGCGTTTAAAACCCGGCTGCATGCACTCGAATCACTGACCCAAATTACCGGGACCACTTGAACGGAATCTAAAAAGAAATGATCGGGTTAAACGGTGACGTAAGAGAGATTATGATGGCCGTAGTCCCTGATTAGAATATACATATAAACCACGCCGGGCAGATAAACGACGAGGGGCCGGCACTGTTAAAAGGATTCATAAGATATGTTATTAATTTTATTTTTAATTATGTTATTAAGATATGTTATCAATTTTATTTGGAATTATGTTATTAAGTTAGTACCCCGTCTCCGAGTGATAGTTCCCTCATAAATGTAACAAGATTGTGATATCTTTTTTTTAACAGCGTGTAATAAGATCCTGTGCCTCGTTTCATGGGTAATAATAGCGACCTTCTCGTGTTATTAATCGAGCGGGAATATTCCTCCGTGGTGTAAGTACCGGCGCCATGAATCTTCATTTGCGGAGTGGGATTTATCGCGAGAGGAGTTTGACGTTTAATCCGATCTTGCGATCCGGCCTTGCGGACTCTATCGAGGGATCTTGAATGATAACGTGGATTTTCCGTCCCGACGTCGCGGCGAAGCAATAAATAAGCGCAAGGATGGTCAGGCCCCGAAATTAAGGCGTATAAAATCAACGTCGGGGCTGTCATTAACAATTTTGTCACCGGGACTTGGGCGAGGGGACCTATTATACTTGCGAGGCCTTGTAAATAATTCATATGCACCCACGTTCGGCGACACTCTGCTATTAGGGTGGACGGTGGTTCACCGTGAATATTCAACAGTTCTCACCTCGTACGTTTAATCCCCATAGAATCCCCGAAAAAGTGGGCGGACGTTCGAATAAACATTATGTACACCCCGTGATTATCCGCGGTAAAAAAGACTCATTTTTCTCTGGGGTAGAATTAGGTTATCATGGTACCCTGCCTTTTCATGGAAAATGTGGGGGAATAATTATATAATGTCATTATTTGTTCTTAACAGGCGTCTAAAAAACGGTCCACGGTCCAATATTCCAGGATTTAATTCCAATATTCAACAGTTCTCACCTCGTACGTTTAATGTTACGTTTAATGTACATTAAATCCCCATAGAATCCCCGAAAAAGTGGACGTTCGAATAAACATTATGTACACCCCGTGATTATCCGCGGTAAAAAAGACACATTTTTCTCTGCGGTAGAATTAGGTTATCATGGTACCCTGCCTTTTCATGGAAAATGTGGGGGAATAATTATATAATGTCATTATTTGTTCTTAACAGGCGTCCAAAAAACGGTCCACGTGCTGCACAATTCCGAGCAGCCGGCATCCGTTTTCGCAGTCCTCGAATCCGGGAATAAAGTGGTGCCGCTAATTGCCGATGGATTGTTCGATTTGCTCATGCAAAAGATGACCAACATCTACACTAGCAAGAAGCAGACGAACATCGAGTCGAAAGGACCTCGATTCGAGATCGGGGATTTCTGCGTGAAGCTTGGCAGCGTGACCATGAGCCAGAACTTTAAGGGCGTCTTGGTAGAGGTTGGTCCAGAAATTAATAAATATATTAATTATTCCTGATTAATTGTTGGGGATAAACGAGGTAGTATATTACGGTCCATTGAAAGGGGGAGAATCTACTTGTAAGTAGATCTCGCTGTCGAGGTCGGACGAATTCTTCATAAGAGTACAGGAGTCTTTTAACTTGTATTTTATCTTAAGGGGATATGAAAGTGGCGTCGAAAAGGTTTCGTTTATAAAGCTTTTCTCCCAACTCGGTTTACCGAATAGCTTGAAACTTTACAACGTGAATGGGGAGACTATAAGGAAGGTCCTGAAACTCATGAAATTTCAATTCTTTTCAAATTTCTTTATGGGTAGTTTAAAAATAGTTTATAAAAAATATTTCGCGAGTTTCAGGACCTACCTTAGGGTTCCTATATTCGCGTTTCAAAGTATGAAAGGGTTTGTGACATCCCGTTCGTAGAAAAGTTTTATGAACAATTGAGCTTTCAGATGCCACTTTTGCATCTCCTTAACTGCAGCAACGCGTAATTCTGCGGTGCAACCGGTTGCACTCGCATGCAAGACCGTACTTATTAACGCATCGGATAAATCATTGGCGCGGCTTATAAGGGGCATTAGAGCCTTCTTAAATAAATACACCGCGATTAAATTTATCGGCGGTGTAACGCGGCTTGATTAACAACCGTTTCTCCGAGTCTAATAAGTGGCGCGTGACGCAAGTAGAACGTGTTTAATTCATTTCAAATCGATCTGAATTACGAGCACTCCGGTAGGGGCCTCTCTGCTAATTGAAAATAAATCCCGAAAGCTTCCTCCGGGGGGTGCAACGTTATTATAATCCCAGGGTTATGGTTTAATCGTTTACTCGAATTTCTATTTTGCCCCCGTAAGGGAGCGGAGTAAGGTTTAAACAATGCACCCCGGAACAATTAATTTGTATCGCTTCGCGATACTGGCCGTGCAGATAACAAGCCCTTTGCCCGTGTTTATTTAACAATCATCTGGACAATTCGATACGCGCAAAAAACAAGAAACAATTGACAATGTGATAACAAGGAATTATATTTCCCTCGCGTGTCGCAGCGTTCACTCTTCGCGAGAATAATTTTCATATCGCTCGGTCAATCCGATGGGGATAATAATTTCTTCTTCGTTAATTCTAATAATAAATAAAAAATTATAATAATAGAAATTCATTTACTAATTTAGCAAAGATTTTCAGTTTGAAAGGAAGCTCCCCAGGGTTTATATCTACGTTCGGTACAATTGCAAACGTTTTTGCCGTTGCTGGCAATTGTTACAGCGGTAAGAGGAGTACTTTCTTCAGCGATGCCTTCCTATTGTAAAATTGCGAACGTCAATTTTTTTTTTAATTTTTTTTCCGTGATTATTAGGGAATCGTCATTTTCTTTTTCTCGACTGGACTTTTATTGAACAGTTCTTCCGGCGTTCTGAAATGATCATCGAGTCGGTTAATTCGCGTCGAGATGACGACTCTTTACGTCAAGGCTGTGCACTCGAAGTGGTCCAATTTCCACTTTGCAGTGCAGCCGTGAGGTGCGAGTGCACTTCCGGTAGGTACCGGATACGACGCGATTAAAATCTCCGATAACGACTGCGCTCGTTCGACGTATCGAGAGGTCGCAGGCGACCAGATGCGAAACCGATTTTCCCGGAGTCTCGCTCGTCCTCGATTTCCAGCCTGCCGAAGAACCGAAGCCGATTGACGAGGCGGCAGTCTCTGATTGGATATTGAGTATATTATGGAGGCCGTTTCCATCCCTGCGATTTCACATTCGCGACCGCTGACGTGAATTCACGTCATTTATATATTCTATTCCTGACTGCCGCTGACGTGAATTCACGTCCATAAGGATACACGATACAAGTTTGCGGCAACCACTTTCAGAATTTCATTATTTTCGCCGGTACTCGGTATTTGAAACGGGAAAAAATTTGCTGCTCGCGAATCTGTTAAATTGCTGTTTTTTGCGCCGGGTGCAATCACGGGATCTGAGAACCGTCCATGATAAGACATTCCCAAGGGATTTAAATTAAAGCGACTTGGCCAAATGATTACTACTTCGAGTAAGGAAATACATTTCCTGGGTTCGATGGATTTTCTTTCTTTTTTTCTCTCTTTTTTTTCACCGGTGTAGGAGTAAGTTTCACTCGATTTGACGTTTTTCGTCACGAGAGATTTTACCAACGGGGAATATCTCATTGGAGGGATCGATCGCGGTATCGGCGAAATTCTGCAACGCCTAATCTCGATCGGTCCCCGTCCTCGTTACAGGTTACAGGTACGAGCGAATGCACCTGCACCTGCGCCCGTACGTACAGGGGTGCACCTAGGTGCAACGCGACTCGGCGTAAACTCCCGTAACGATGCACGTGCGTCTGCACCCGTGCACCGCTGTCTCGTGTAGGTGCAGTCCCCGAGGACGTCGTTACAATTTGTCGCTGGCCGATGTATAGGTAATCGATCGATAACTTTACGGCCGTCGATCCAATCGGTGTCGCAGACGTCAGAACCGTGCGCCAGTTTTCCCGACATCCCGGGTGTCCAGCTTTTCCCAGAGATCCGAAATGATGGAGTGCATTTTGCTGGGCGATTGGTGCAACGGTTGGCCAACCGATAATTGCACAGTAATTAATATATATAGATTAGGAGAATATAAAAAAATTATCGCGGTATATTTTCAAGCTCGCCGACGCGTTACGTCGAGTGAATTCTTAAGTGATACGCAATCTATCGTAATTAATATATAATTAATATATAGAATAGGAGAATATAAAAAAATTATCGCGGTATATTTTTAATGTTCACCGACGCATTACGTCGAGTGAAATCTTAACTGATACGTAATCTATCGGGATTACGTTCGATCCAGGTCGCCCCAATTTTCGGCGAGCATATTTGCTCCCTGACCTCGAACAAGTCCGAGCCAAGTCGAGGGTTGGTTGAACGTAGAACCCTCGCCATTTGTCTCGTATAACTGCATCCCCTGGATACTTTATACTCTTCGACCTCGGAAATACTCTAAAATAACGCCAGGAGCCATTAATTCCAATGGAGGCATTCCCAGCTCTCTCTCTCCCTCTTCTTTTCCCCTGGGAGTATGTACTTTTCATTATCGCTTCCTCGGGGCAAGCCGCAGCTTCTCACCTCCTTTTATTCGGCCCCACTGCTCTTGCTTAATCCAGTGCACTGCGTCCCACGATAAGAGCCGAAAATTAAATGAGAAACGATCGAGGAGGGCCGAAGGAACGGGACCTCTCCTCGGGGAGGAATTAAATGGGAATTAAATGCGAATGGAATTATTCTCGGCGAGAAAGTGGCCCCGGAACATTTTCCCCGCGGCTTGATCCTCCGGGACGGTTAAAAAGAATCCATTAAAAAGAAAGTAATCAGCCCGCGGTACCCCCAGCAGGGCACGTAACAGTTTTCTCATTTAAGTTCTTCCCTTCGCCAGGCGCAATGACGGAGGCGGCTTTAATAGGCTTCCTCGGTGCGTGCGGTGTACACGTTACCGCAGGATTTCCGTTGTCCCTTTATTTTGCTCCGCCATTTCGTCGCGAATATCCCGGCCAGTCGCAAAAAGGGAAGCCCGGTAGCCCAGGAACTGCGGGAACGTGTTCCTGTAAATGAGGATTTTAATTAAACACCGCTTCCCGTGTCCGGAAAAAAAAAAGAGAGAAATGCCAAATTTGCATCTAGACTCCGTCAAGAACGACCTGATCTCGGCGAAATTTCATTCGATTACCTTCGCAAGCAGAAAAGTGCAGGCTAAAAATGAAATTCGATCTTGTAAGAGTTAGCAAATCGGTATAAATTTCATTCTATTATCTTGGCAAGCAGAAAAGTGCATTCAGAAAATGAAATTCGATCTTGTAAGAGTTAGCAAATCTGTATAAATTTCATTCGATTACCTTCGCATGCAGAAAAGTGCATTCAGAAAATGAAATTCGATCTTGTAAGAGTTAACGAATCGGTATAAATTTCATTCATTTCACACAAAATGTGATAATATATACCCCATGTGTGTTCGAAGAATGAAAGTTGAGAATAGCGAATTGTACGATAGGGTGGTTTAAACTTGTTTGTCTACGCTTTTCAGACGGTATGTCAAGGTCTTAAACCTTGGTACGCTCTGGGTTAATTTATGAAAGAAAGAAACGGTAGGAAAAAAGGAGTTAACTGCGGAATGATTGATTCATAGTGTCGTTACGTGTCGCTTTGGCAGCTGTATATATTGGCTTTCGCGTGTCCTGGACTCTCGAAGGCGAAGAGAATCCTCTGCAACCGTGAGAATGCTTGTTATAAAGTCGTTTCGCAGCGACCCTTCGGAGAATCCGGGGCTGATAGATTGTAAACGGTCTCTTCGTCGAGATTTACATCTTCGCGTCGTTTAGGTACCTCCCTTGAACCTAAATTCTCCACCCAAGAGCTGCAACACGTGTCATGGATTATCAGATATCAATATTTCCGAAAGTTTATTTCTTATAATTCACCCTCGAATCGTCCCGATTCAGACAGCCAAATTTTAATATAAATAGTAATTAGCTGTAAAATATTACCGTTTTACGTTTCGTTACGCTTCAGACAGCCAAACTTTAATATAAATAGTAATTAACTGTAAAATATTAGCGTTTCACGTTTCGTTACGCTCCCCTTGATACTTCCATTTCCCCAGAAATGTCGGTAATAAGAGAAATTAATGTCTCGACTCTAACGCTCAGGTTTAAATATTAATAGTAAATAATTGTAAATATTTCACGTCTCGTTCGGCTACCCTTTCTTGATGTACGAACTTCTCCTAGCTTGACATAAAATGTTTCACTTAAAAGTGTGGTCGAATTGCAAATTTAAGGTGGAATACAGACCTTGCGTCGTGCCGGGAAGCGCTTGGGAGCTGATGCGAGAATTTCTCCAAGGATTCCTCGGATCCGCCGTGTCGAATCAAATTCCGCAATATCTGCAGGTAGGGTCTCCGCCTTATTTCTTCCCACGTTCGTAAGTGCTCCAGTTCTCTCAACCAAGGAACCGGCGAGACCCTATAAAACGAATCTGTTGCAGAATCGAATAAATGACATTTATCAGCCGATGGACACGATTCACCAATATCTGGAGCACTTCGGCCAATACAGGAAGTCGACGGGCGTGATATGAAGGAGAAGTTCCGCAAGTGATCCTCGTACTTGCAGTTACCTTGTTTCCCATTTTTTTTATTCCATTAAAGCGATAAAAACCGCGGATGTTCTTGAACCTTGATCTTCCTGGATTTCTGTATCGTACGATGTCGTGAAGGATGTACAGAGCATTGCATCTGCAATTACGAAAAGTGAGTGGAATTTCAAATGAAATTAATAACTGTACCTGCAGGAGAATATTTAGCCGAACGATAAAATTCTTGGTAATTGGTAATTGGCGTTTGACCAAAATACTCCATGTCTTTATTAAAATATTCTCGGAAAATATTAACGGGTTTAACCGATTTTAATTAATCGAAACTAACGAATCTGGTCAAGTTGAACTAAAGTGAGGTTGACTCGAGCGAAACGTTTCCTGAAACGAGCCAAATGCCGTCGATTTTATTCAATGGACCGATGCTTTTTTTTCTTGGCCTTTTTCTTTTTCCTACATGTAGCAGGTTTTTAATAAAGCAACGGTGAAAATGCATAAACGACGTGTAGTGGCTCTTTTACCGGATAGCAGCTGTCGGTAACGGGAGTAATATTTCCTGTCCGAGAATCGTGTGCCATCTAGGGTAGAGAGTTAAACTCTTTTACCGACCGAGGCGAACGGATGATTGTTGGAAAATAATTGACCGACGCAAATCGGTAATCGCCCTCGGTGGTCGTTCGGGTGGGCTTAGAATAATGGAACCGGTTATTAACTTCCGATAATTAACTCTTCGCCTCTGTGCTTAGGGAGAGAACCCCGAGAATTAGAGCTAAGGAATACCAAACTTTAACGACGGGTCCGATATAATTCTCTTAGGGCGACGTTTATGATAAAGTATTGTACCTGCACTTAAACATATGTTATTAGCTAATAAATTACGAGAACGGGGTAATTTCTCCTTACTTTAGCTCCGAATTGGACTAAACTCGGATTATGACACGTACTTGTTGGTTCCTTTTTCAACCCTTTATGTAGAAATTATTTACCTGCGCGGAGAGATCTTATATTAATATAATTAACGGCTAATTTCTTACATTGGGTTACCTTAAGTGCGGGCAAATTATTACTAGATGGTATAATAATTATGTTTTAATTCATTCTGCAGAATGTTCCACCTCGACGAAGATTCTCGTAAGTAGTGTTCGACTGGTTGCAGAGAGTGCGCCACTAATCTGAAAACGTCCTATTTTTTACTTACAAATTCTTTAAGATATTGCGTTTATACATAATTGTTACACTACAAGGTAAACTAGAAATAGGAAACTGTAACGTCAATTGAACACCAACCCTACACGTTTATATGATAATTTTTATACCTGTTACAACTATTCAACATTAATTGCGATACTTGATATAAGCCACCATACATTTGCAAGATAGGGCCATCTTTAATACGGCAATGTATATTAATAATATATTAACTACCTGCAGTTGACGTTTTTTTTATTCCCCGTGGTTCATGAATACTAACAGCCTCTGGTGAATTCCAAGTTTAAAGGTAATAAACGCTCCGTCGACTGTTAATACGAGTGCACGGAAGCAATGACATGAAACGCAAAATGAAACGCGCAAGCTGAACCGTTAATTATGTAAATGCAATTCTAGACGGTGCGTAATTCTTGCACATATTCGCACAAAGAGTAATTTCGTTCGTTCCAGCCTACGTTTATTAACTATACCGGTGCACTCTAAATAATAACAAGTTTTGTTAAAGAAAAGAAAAGAAGAATTCCTACTTTAGTCGCTCACGTTGTAGAAAGGATGTTAAATAATGGAAATGATACAGCCAGTACCAGATTAACAAGCGCGGGCATATCAATGGATGTTTTTAAATAGGTTTTTTAAAGAAATCCATGACATGTAAATTATTATGAAATCTTTTTTGCGGTGTGTCTCGCAAATGGAGAGGGACAGAGAATAAGAAAAGGAGTTCTCCTTGGCCGTTTCAAGTTCGATGTCGTATGAACGACTACCTTTGCGCTGTCGTCGTTAATATCCGGTCAAAGATCATCTTTTAACTACGCTTCCCAGGGAATTGATTAACCGAGCCATGTAGACTCGTGTATAATGAGGAATTTCTTAAGTAACCCACGAAGGCTACCACTTCCGGTCGGGACTAGTTGACTTCCGTTTGCCGTGAACATCCAAAATCGAGGCATAAGATTTTAATGTCCGGAAAGGTGATTTTATTTTTAACAAGATGCCGAATCCTCGTAAAACTCAAGAGAATCCTTTATTCAATCGTCCTTAGCTTGATACGCGATTATTTCGAGTTATCTCGGGAGTTATTCGCGGAAAAGGGAAATTCTAAATGTCGAATCAATCTACCTTGTGGGCGCCAGTGGCGCCGTCGCGTGGCTGGAAGACGAAACGCTCGGCGAACGGACGAGACATCGTGAAGCGGCTTTCAGACGTTCCTGGGTATTTGTAAAGAAAACTCGACAGTTCTGGCCGCTGAACAACGATGGAGGTATTTATCACGAATGGTTACAAAAATCGCGAGCCTTACGGGGAGAGAATTAAGCCTACTCCTAACTCTGCCTTTCTTGCAGATCGAGGTCGTGTCTGCTGGAACCTCCAAACTCATAACCACCGTGGAGGTAAGCAAACAAAATGTCTTGATTAGGACAGTGCATAATTACTGTAAGTCTCGCTACAACACGCATCCGAAGAGATTGAATTTCGCAAGAACGTCGCCAACCTGACCACTCGCTCTAGAAGTGTTTTCACTGAAGATTACTCTGGGTCTTGATGCACTGATTTAATTCTTTTTTTTTACGCCGGAACAACATGTGTAAATGTAGAGGTCACAAGATAACATGCTGGAAACATTTGTCAGCAGAAGCAACGTCATGAGTTTTGTTATAACATTACTTGAAAGAAATATTAAGTTACGTCGGAGAGACAGGATTTTCAGGCATGGTTTAATTCATCTTCTGTGATTTTTAGGTTACTCCGAGCACTACGATTGGGGAGATTAAGCAAAAATTAAATAAACTGAAGAAAGCTCCATATGTCGAGAGGCAGAGTTTACGATTGGATTCTAAGGGTAAATCCTTGTCCGATTCGGAAACCGTCAAAGGACTGTCGCTCAAAGCTGGTTCCAAGTTGTATTATAGGGATCTTGGACCACAGATCGGGTGGAAAACTGTTTTCCTTGTGGAATATGCCGGTCCTTTAGTCGTATACCTTTGGGTGTACCAAAGACCATGGCTTTTTTACGGCAATGTAGCGGATACAAAATTGGAGCCAGTAGTGCAGTGAGTAGTACTAATTAATTAGTTTTCATCCATGAATAAAACAACATTTACTTCGTCGAACAGTTCTTCTCAACTTCAATAACTATTTGTGTTTTAGCTGGGCAGCGGCTTGCTGGACAATTCATTATGCGAAGCGGTTATTGGAAACTTTGTTTGTTCATCGATTTAGCCATTCCACTATGCCATTAAGAAACCTCTTTAAGAATTGCTCGTACTATTGGCTATTTACAATGTACGTGGCTTACCACGTCAATCATCCATTGTACACAGCCCCTAGCCAATTCCAGTCGATGCTCGGAGCAGCATTATTTGCAATTTCTGAGCTGGGGAATTTAAGTATTCACTTAGCATTAAGGAATTTAAGACCGCCGGGTACAACGGTTAGGAAAATTCCAAAACCAACGTCCAATCCTTTCACGCTGCTGTTTGATCTAGTCTCCTGCCCCAATTATACATACGAAGTCGGCAGTTGGATTGGTTTTACAATAATGACTAAATGTCTTCCAGGTAAATTTGCCTTTAGTAGCGCCGTTCTCATTAATAACAAAACATGTTCATTGACGTAACTAAATTCTTAAGAGATCTTCCTTGAGAGAAAAAATTATTAATAAAAGCTAATCACACTAATTATTGCATTCTATTTCAGCGGGCATATTTACGCTTGCTGGTGCATATCAAATGACAGTATGGGCATTGGGAAAGCACAAAGCGTACAAGAAGGAATTCCACGACTATCCAAAAAGTCGAAAGGCCATCATACCATTTATAATTTAAAAGTACTGTCCAACCCGACAGCTTTATGAGTTTCTTAGCCGGATCTAAAGCTCAGCGAACGTACAACTTTGTTATCGTTGAAATTTTTCATACCTAAATAAATTTGTCAAAATCCACCTGGGCGGAGTAATTATTACTTAACGATTAACAAAACATTACTCGGTAAGTATCACACTATTGAGATACAAATTAGCCTCCCCACGATATAAACAATAAATAGCAAAGATTATCCGATAACTCCATTTTTACATATATACATCAACCCGTACGTACTTGCACATTATAAAAGATTTTTATCCACATTATACTCCTCTGGCGGTAGCTTGTTAAGAAGTCTCTTGATGTCCTCCTTTAACATAATGACCATATGTTGGCATTCTTGCATTTGTGTGCGATAAATCTTTTCCAACTCCTCCTGGCCATGGCAAGCTTTCGCCAGTTTGTTCCTAGCTTCCGCCATTTTAACATCTTTTGTTCCTGGTATCCCCAGAAGATTCTCCATGTCAATAATGCGTTTTTGTGCACGTTTAAGCTCGTCCCTCAAGCCGTTCAATTCCGTTATCAGCACGACGTTTTCCTCCAGGACCTTGTCCAAGCCTTTGTCACCAGGAGACACGCCTCGGAACACCTGCTTCCTCAAGGAAGCCACAGTCCTCTCCAGGTAATCCCTCTGCCTCATGAACTCACACTGAGCATCCAAATCAGCCTTCCGACTCCTCAGGAACTCTTCGTCGTCGCTGTACCTGTGAAATAAATTAATCACCGCAATTTTCAGGGCATGGGGCTCCTGCACGAGTCCCGCCGTGTCCAGAAGATCGATTCGGATCTTCCTCAACAGCAGCTGGTTCCTCTTGTTGCCCTCAACTTCCGCTTGGACCTCTCTACGTGCCGCCGCGAGCTTCTCCCTGAGCTCGAACAACTGCAGCTCCAAACTGACGTTGGTCTTGTGCAAGTTCACCAGCTCCGTCTCCATGTCCTGGATCTTCTCCTTCAAGGCTCCGATCTCCTCGTCGCGAGGGTCTATCTGATTCTTCAGCTCCCGGATCTTGTACTCCAGGACGAACTTGAACTTCTCCAGCTCCTGGTTGTTGCGCTTCAGCTCGTATATCCTCTTCTCCTTGTCCTGGATAGTGCCGTCTCTCTCGTCGATCTCCTTCTTCAAGCCCACGACGTTCTTCTCCAGCTCCTGTATGTTCTTCTGGAACTGGACTTGCTCCCTCTGGAGATGCGAGACTTGCCTCTTCAGCTCGTCCATCTCCTTCTGCCCGGAGACGTACTTGTTGCGCATCACTCCTGCCTCGCCTTTCAGCTTAAGATTGTTCTGCCTCTCCTCGTAGAGCAGCGTCTCGTAGTTCGTCCTTATCTCCACGATTTCCCTATCGGCGTCGTCTTCGATCTGCACCTTCAATTGCTCGTGCACGCGAACCTGGTGAGCCATCTCCTCGTGGGTGTCCTCCAGTTGGGCGTTTTTCTCGTGGATCTGCGCCTCGTATTTTGTCACGGTCTTCTGGAGCTCCTCCTTCCTCATCAACTCCAGCTCTTCCAGTCTCCTCTCGTAATCCTCTCGCATCGCGTTGGTCCTCTCCTCGAATGCCTGGTACTTGTCGTACTCCGTTATCAATTTCGCATCGTAGCTCGCCTCCATCCTCTGCATCGCCTCCTCGTGGCCTGTCTTCATCTTCACGATCTCCACGTTGATGTTGTTCAGCTCGTTCGTCCTGTCTTCCTGGAGTTTGTCGATCTTGTCCCTCAGCTCTTCGATCGCCTCGCAGTATCCCTGATGCACCTCTCGCATCTTATCGTTGTGTTGCACCTCGGTTTGTCGCATTTTGTATGCATGCTCGGTCTCCAATTCTCTCATCCTTGTTGTCAGGTCCTTGATGGTTTGTATCTTCTCTTCCAGGTCGCCCTTCGAGATCAAGACCTCGTTCGTGTAAGGCAGTTCTTTCACCAGCATCGCTGCCTTGCCCTCCGGGAAGTGCACTTTCCAGAAACACATGCTCCCGTCTCGAGAGGTCGATATCATGATCTGCTCGTTATCGGACAAGAGGATCTAAAAAGGAAATAGGACATTTTAATGATACACTCCAATTGTAAGGTTTAAAGGTCCCGCTCGTGGTAATACTAAAGTATCATGATGAAAGAGTGAATCGTTGTAAATAAAGCGATGCGCTTTCCAGGACAGGTCCCTTTAGGAAACCATTTAAAAGAATTACGTACGTGCGTAGTATCGGCAGAATGGTAATGGAAGTCGGAGTACTCCAAGGGGTCTTGAAGAGGGCATTTAAACGACAATATGATCCCACCGGGACACGTGATGAACATCATCAGGTCGTCCTTCCCCATTATCATGGACTTAAACTCCATTCCGGGTATCGAGAATTCACGTAGTATCTGAAAAACGAGGGTAAGTGATAATGATAGAACGTTGATAATTGTTTAGAAAATACAGGAGATTTAAATAAAAATTACCACGCCATCCTTAATCTCCCTGATCGCGTGGTCGGTGGCGAGACAGTAATAAGTTTGCGCGTCGGCGGTCAGGACGATATCGGTAAGGACGATTCCTTTCAGGATGACCTCGGCGACCCGCGACCCGGTGCTCATGTCCCAATCATAAATGGCGCCTTCCTGTCCAATGGTGACCAGCTTGGTGTCCGTCTGGGTCCAGACGATACCCTGGATCCTCCCGGTATGGCCCTTCAAGATGAACCGATTCCGGAACCCGATGGTCGTATAAACCTGAATCAAATTCCCATTAACCGCGGCGAACATGTGCCCGCCGAAGCTGAACTTGACCGTCTTACAGTTCCTGATGGGGAACTCCTGCATGGAGAGGAGATTGTCTATCAGGATGCTCATGAACCGCAACTTATCGCTGAACCCGACCAGGCAGAACAACCCCGTGGGATGCAGAGCGATGGAGCAGATGTCCTCCAGGTACTGCTTCAGCATGACCAGACTCTCCGATTCGTAGTCCCACAATCTCACGGACCTGTCCTCTTGTCCACAGGTCATGAACATGGGCTTCCACGCGCACATGGTCAGCCCGGAAATGGACCCCTGGTGCAGCATCTGGCCCATGATCTTTAAAGACCGGGGCTCCGGGTCCATGTTCAAATCCGGACCCCATAACTTGGCGTAGAACAGCTGGGCCCACCCAGTGGTGACCAACAGCCGATCCGAGCTCAAGTTTGCGTTGATGCAGTTGATTCTGTACAGATTAGGGTTCTCCTGCTTGGAGGCCTGTTCGGGCACCACGTAAACGTTCCTCTTGGTGTACTTGTGGGGACCGTCTCGCTCAAAGACCACCAGGGTCCCGGCTCCGAAGCCAAATGCAAAGCCCCTGTTGAAGGCCACCAGACCCCGGACGTCGTGCTCCCAGAATGCGTCGTCTCCGGCCTCCATGCTGGACTGGGATGCCGTCGTCTGGATCACGTACTCCTCGCGAATCTTCAGGTTCATCAGAGAGATGTCCTGCATCTTGTAGATGTTCTTCAGGTCGCCGTTCTCCAGGTAGAGGATCCTGCCGTCTCGAGTTCCTGCCAGGAGCCTGTCGGTGTTCAGCCAGGTCATCGAGCTCACCAGGATGTTGTCGGCCTTGGCGAAGCCGTAAGGACGCCACACGGATTCGGAGACCGTCAAGAACTTGAAGGCGTAAGGACCACCCATTGCGATGATCCCCGCGTCGCCGGGGTTGCAATGGATCGTTCTCACCAGCGACATGTTGTTCTGAGGATTGCCCACCTTCAGACTTGACTCCATCTTTCCCTTTTCCCAGTTGTAGAAGAGCATCGTCTGGTCCGGCTCGCCGGTCACCGCTGCCAGGTACTTGTTGTCAAAGGTAAAGGAGATGCAACTGAACTTCGTCACTCCTGGCGCTTCGTAGGGGATCCCCAGGAACTTCTTCCTCTTCAAGGTCTGCAGGTCGTAGATAGAGATGGTAGGCTTGTCGCCGATCTCGCAAAGGGCCGCGTATCTCCTTTTGGAATAGAAATCGCACTTAAGTAGAAACATCAGGGAAAAGTCAGGTATTCGATGTATTTAAATCCAAGCCTTGAATTTTTACAAGAATGCTTACTTATTCGGCGTAACGGAGATGATGTTGACGCGATGTTTTTCGGGCAAACGAATTATCCTTTGTCGCCTCTGGACGAAATTGTGAATCGCAAGTGTACTACCGACAGGGTACAGGATGTCGGTGTCGGTGATGTAGTGCGCATTTCCCGAGATGTCTGTCTTCAGACCGAAGAAAACCCTCGACTGCAGGACCGGTATCGCCATTTTGAGATAAAAAATACCTGCAAAGTACCGATAGAAATGTAAAAGTTAAAACGTTCCCACGACTCGTTCGACACGGGAGGATAACCCTAATAAAACGGCGTCATCGTTTCCCTGGCAACGGGCCTTCCATTTGATCTGTCTTTTAGCACATTCAAATTTCCGCGGTCGATACAACAGCGCCACTAGCGGAGAAATCTCACATTAATTTCGTCACTGCTTGAAGCTTTGACTGCATACAGAGTAAGTTGGGAGATTGCTCATGGACAGGATCCACTTTTTTATTTTTCAAGTCATCACAGAGATGCGTTGGGAGCATAGATGAGGATTATAAACGCGATCGCGCAACGCCGCTCGTGAGCAATCTCTTAACTCATCTCTGATCGGAATGCTCTTGCGCGGTAGATAAAACAATCTTTAAAAATGGACGGACGAATCCTGTGGAGATTTACGAGAGTTGCAATGCGCAACGACAAACAAACGAAAATTAATTCCAGCTATTCCAGAATACAGGAGCTGGGTGATCTCTTTGACAACATGACATTACTCAGATGACTTGGCCGACAATTACAAGGACCTGGTTCTATTTGTTGGTTACTTTAGCACTCTTTGGTTATGTGATGCCAATAAGCAATAATAACAGTGGAAGTGTAAGTACACGTAAATTTGAGAATTTATAAACATTTTCAGCTCAGCAACATGATCCGTACATGTGGTCAATATTGCTAATAATTAATGTAAGAGATATATCGTCTAAGTGTCGACAACTATTTATGTCTTTGAGTAAATTTCATGATTATTTAATAATAGCCAACTACTTTCACATATACATAATTTGTTGATGGTAAAGTTAGGAATAAGTTACTGTCCCTTTTAGCGACGTATTGAAGTCGGCATGGGATTTCATTTATCAGATATTAAAAATGAGTATCGTTATTTCTAGGCTAAGAAGTTGAATTTTAATATCAGGGGTAAATCAGCAACTGCTCATGAAGAAATAAATGAAAGGGATAATCAGTTTTTAACAATCGCACCCGCATTACCAATATTGCCCGGTGCTCCGATCCCTCAGAAATTAGCAAAACGGTCTTATAGCTCTCTTAGGTAATATGAACATTAATGTCAGAGAAACATTGCTTTTGTATTTGGTCACATTGACAGTTATAATAGATATTTTTTTAAAATAGTTGTACATCCAATTTCAACGTCGAGGATGCCGAAGTTGGGGGCTGTGACGTCGTCACACTGCAACATGCGGGAGAAAGTAGAACAGTGGTGGCCACGCGTTCTCCAGAAGAGCGGGAAAAGAATCCTGACAGAATATGTCTTGACAGACGAGGGCTCACAACTTTTCCCAGTATAGTAGGGGAGACTAAATTAAGATTAATGTCTCTCCAGCACAACCTGCTAACTAAAATCGATGGAAAGCATTTTTCTCAACTGAAGAAACTTGTCTTTCTTGATCTGTACGATAATCAAATAGAGAAAGTGTGCAATATTGACCCGCTAGAAAATTTAAGGGTACTTCTGATAGGAAAGAATAGAATTAAGAAAATAGAGGGCCTACAAAAGTTATGCAAGTTAGAAGTTTTAGATTTACACGGAAATCAGATTGGGCAAATAACAGGTTTGGAAAATCTGGCTTCGTTAAAGGTGTTGAATCTGGCTGGGAATAACATTAAAATCATTGGACAGAATGACTTTCAAGGCTTGACATCACTGAAGGAATTAAATGTCAGGCGTAACAAAATTAAGAAATTACTTGGCTTCGGAGAGACACCGCAATTGCAAAAACTGTATCTTAGTAACAATGACGTCCAGAAGTGAGTATAATTACTTGACTTTTAAATGCAATCTAAATGTACAAAGTAGTAAAATCTGACTTTCTTTCAGAATCGAGGACATGAATAGTTTAGCAAAAGCCTTGCAAATTAGAGAAGTATCCATCGATGGCAATCCTGTCACTCTGAGTCCGAATTGTGTATCTTTCTTGGTGGCTTATTTGCCAAATCTGCAAGTTCTGTCAACTATGCAGGTAAGCGAACAGCTACGCAGAGCTGCTGCAGCCTGGAGGACGACGAAGGAACAGTCGAGCTCTGCCTTTTTGGATCTGAGTACACAAGTTAGTGTAAATGTCTTACGCGAAGAAGTGATATCAAATGCAAAGACAAACTGGGAACTACTGAGATCGCAAACCAAATGTTTAGTTGGCGGCACAGGCAAGGCTAGTAACATTAAAAGTGATCGCATCAGAGGTCTTAACCTGCAAAACTCGAACAAACTTGACACCGTTAAGCTAAAGAGCTTGGACAAAGCAATGTGTAAAGGTTTTGGAAGCTTGACTTCCATAAATGAGAATGCAGAAATGAAAAAGATTTTATTTAAAAAGAGAAGCAACTCCAGTGATAACATGTTCGCAGGCAATGATGTGTGTAATGTGAATCCTTTGGAATTTAAACTACCGCCAATATTAGTTCCTATTATAAATAATTTAACTGAAAACAAAGGCAACGCTGGTATAGGCAATAGCAAAGACAGATTGCTCTTCATCGATGGTGAAGAGAGTACAACAGACTCCGATCTGGAGAGTTCTGAGAGTCACGAGAGTTTGAAGAGTAATTTAAGAAACCACTTAATCAATTCCAATAATCACTTCTCAGGAGATAAAAATGGTTCAGTAAAGAACAAGACCTCTGAAGCCCATCCCTCCGTCAGGAAGTTTCAAAATGAGGGTCCAAACATGATGTGCTTCAACAAGAGTAGTAAAGTACCTGCCAATAGTTCCAGCCCGAGAAGACAGCCTTTGTCTAAAAATTTAAAGCCATTTTACGATTACGAAGGTCGAACTGACTGCCAATCTAGCGCAGTTGGCAGTCTGTCATCGTTCCACTCCTCCAGTTCGAAGACCAGCAGTGTTGACAGTTGCAAGTCGTTTCTCAGTGACTCCACTGGATCTTTGGGACTTCAGGCTACAGAAGACACGACCCAGTTGTCTGAAAGTGATAAAATTAAAGAGAAGGTGCAGTTAAAAAGAGTGGTACACTATAAGAGTAACAGAGCTGCCACTGCTCGAGCTAAACACAGAGCTGTGCCACCGCCAAGTCCTCCACCGCAGCCGCCTCCACCAAGAGAGAGAGAACAAGGTATAAACTTTAAGGATTTTTAATCTCAACCTCTCATCACTTCCTTTATTCCGAACTGGAACGTAATTCATTTTTTAATGATTTATTTACAGGTGGTGATTATTTAGTAGAAATAGTTGGACGATGTCTAAATGTCTACGGGCAAGGAGCACTGCGATTCATTGACAGACCTTGGAATACCTCAAAAGCCAATGACGTTAACGTGGTCAAATTTAACTATGTGCAATTCAATGGTGTAGCCACCGTACTAAATAAATTAAAACACAGATTCCCTAATGCGGAACACTTCATCTTTAAAGAGACCAACATTAGTCATCTGGGTCAGATTAATGCTCTGGCTGAGGTACAAGGTTTGTCGAGTATTCGAATAGAAGCGGAAGGTAATCCAATCATATCGAAGGATTGGAAGATGTATGCCATTTTTCGCCTGGCTCATTGGGGATTGAAGGCCATCAATGGGAAAGAGGTAAATCTCTAATAAATTACAATATTTATGCTCCATTCATTTGATATAGATTTCTGTTCTGTAACCGATGAATATAATTTGTATTAGATAACCGAACAAGAAATAGAACTAGCCAACGAAGAGTACTCCGGGTTAACAGACATCGTCATGTGGTCACTGCCAGAATCGCTTCTGCAACCTCTTCTTCAAAGGCTTCATTTGGAAAAGGCTCAGAAACAGAACGGGGAACAAATTACTGCCAAACAGTTTTTATTTAACTGCGACCCGGCTTTGAGGAACGTCGTCGCCAAAGAAGCTCTACAATGGCGACGAGGAAACGTCACGCAAGTAAGTCGATAGTTCATTATATTCAGTTATTAATTTAACAACCCAAAAGGGGCAGATCAACCTAAAGGTTGATTCATGCTACGATAATGTTTCAGGAGGATCTTATTTGGAGGCACAAAGGTAAAGTACATCTGTCGAGTTTAATCGATGTTACTATCGACGCGATAGAGAAGCTACAAATATTAGAAAAAGAATGGCCCAGCATCTTGCACGAGATCGTACGCGACACTTTGGTGGATTATACCGACATGAACGCGTACATGAAACGTTGCATTTCAATGCTTGATATGGATAAATAGTGCACATTCCCTTAGGCAATCTAGGAGTAATTGAAATTCGGCGCAGGTCCTTTTGTCTCAAGTGATGTTCGATTTCATACGTGTACAAAATAATCCAACGCAATCGCCTCCGGTACCGTTAGGACATGTAATTAAACAGATTTGTTTGCAACCATTTTAGGAGATAGCAATCATTAAAGAGGTAGATAATAAATATTGACGAGGATTGGAAACGAAATGGCATGCAAGTATGAGAGTACAGCTAACGTTCTGATTTTAGTAATTCTGTATATTAACCACTAAACCTGAGTACTTGTAATTCATGACTATGCCAATTCATCACTCGCAGAAGTGTGATAATCGATGATTAATCGCATCGCTAGTTAGGGTACACTTTCGCTCAATTGAACTGTACAAAACGAGTTTACGGAGTCTTCAAAGTTGTTACTGTTTTTGTAATAAATGAGTTTATCATCGTGTTGCAGTGCAATAAAATGGATCATTGTCCGATCGAGCAGTCGAGCGCGACCTCGTCCTCTTTCTAAAACGTCTTATACTTGGATATGTTTGATGCAAACCTTGAAATAATTACCAAACTACTCCGCAACAATGTTATGAACTATTTACAGTGAGTGATGTAAGCGCCGAAATAAGAATACAACTTCTTTAATACGGATAATCGATTATTCAGGCTGTGATGATCCTGATATCCTATCGCAGTAATTTCATGAAAGAAATTTCATTATATTACAACCGACATTAAAATATCACTTCGAAGAAGGTATCCTGCGCTGTGTTATATATTTTCAAGAAAATTAGATAGAGTGTCTTCGTTGAAGTGAAAGTATTTTTATAAAAATATACCACAGGCACAGTCGAAGGACTTCCTATCCGAAGTGATTACATGAATCAGTTCGACAGTCTCTCCGTCTATAAAATTCATAATTCTAATCGCATATCCTTATCAACAGAATAATATGATAGATATATCTAAGATCAGTCGCAATTACAGTGTACAGTAGAGGAGCAAAATGTTAATGTTTATCAGCGTCATTTTCTCCCGATGAGGGACTCCACGCTGAATGGCAATGGAGGTTTCTTATCGATGCAGGGATTACTATTATCAACGGGCATTTCCTGCGCATCCGAGGCTGCTCTGAAGAAATTGCTTACATTCGAGTTTGAAGTTCGATAATCCGGAAGGCAACTGTACCAAGGAATACCCGGATAGGCCGGACAAAATTGTTGGATCCCAGTCAAAGTGTCTACACGTCGTTTCCGGTCGCACTCCACGGATGACAATGGTCCCAGCAATCTACCGTCTGGTATAACTGGAAAAAATCCAAATAGACAAAATTAAAATAATTTCCTTTATTCAATGTGACATTCCTAGCGACTAACTTGATCGCAAGAATTTTTTCGTCGCGATGTATATATATCTATGAGTGAACGAATTTCTTTTTCCAGGTGAAATAAATCAGAATATTGTCAAAATTCTATTCTAAGTGTCGCGAGACTCAGCCAACGTAAAATCTCCGCAGTTTATTAGTAAGGGGCAAGACATGAACGATTGGCAATTACATCTCGATCAGAACTCATTACCGAGGCCTAATTTATCGTTCAATAGTAAGTATTAAACGTTATACCTAATCGCATCCCAACAAATCGCTCAATCAATATTCGGGAATGTCCTTTGAATACTTAACATGGCTCGATACTCATTAAATGCAATTTCCCTACTATTTCAATGGAACTTTATACCCCGATTATGAACATCTATATAACGTTACGTTCTATTTGCAGGGAGAAGTATATACGAGAAGGAATCGGGTTTAATCGGAAATGGTGGTTTCGTCCATGATACGATTCCTTCAAGCGAACGCTTTCCAGGTGGCTCGAGAGGAACGAATTCGCCCCGAACAGCTGAGAGCAAGGCTCGTCGCCTTTTATGATTTCCGGAGTCGCAGAACCCCTTTGAAACCCGAGGAAACTCGCAGGAGTCGGGAATAACAGAGTTTTCCGCTCCCTTCCGGAAAACGATACCGCGCTCTGTATCATTCGAGTGGACAAGGGCGAAGAGGAGAAACGGAGCGAAGCAATATGGCGGCGCAGAAGAGATGCACCTCGCAGCCGTAAAGTTATTTCAGTCCCATTGTGTGTATCTACCGAAGGCTCGGGACGTTTAAACAAAATTTCACATCCCTCGTCGAGAACTGCGCAAACCAACGAAAGCGCTCGAGAGGGTTTGCGAAATCCAGCGATTCGGGGAACCCCGCAACACTTTAAGGCGATATCAAAGTGGTACCCGAGGAATCGAATCGTTTGCGAAACTTTTCTCCTAGCTGGGTGGAATTTCACGAGTATCAAGACCTTCCTTAGAGCTTACATTTTATCGTGGCGTAATTTAAAACGATTATATAGGGGATGACCCTTTCATGTCGCCTTAGATTTTATATTACAATGACTGCCTACAGGCGTTTTGCAGGCTCGGGACTGCGTTCAGGCTTTGGAAATCCTGGGTGACGCTGATCCTGGTCTGCGTGAGATGCAGCTGATGCCTCTGGAAGTTCCTCAGCCTCCTTTGATAGGCGACCGTGGCTCGTTGCTGGGAGTTTACTGGAGGCTGCTCGTTCCCCACCACCGAGGGTGTCAAGAGGGCATCAGGAACACAATTCCCTAGTGCCTGTTGCTGCCTACGCAATGCTACTTGGGCAGCCATTACGCGTTGTCTTTCGACCACCAACAAGCAACATGGACATCGGCAATCCTTCCAAGCGCAGGACCTCTTGTGACCTTTCAGACTGGAAATGATGCCATGATTCCGGCACCTCGCACATTTCGGACTTCTCAGCCGATTCTCCATACTAGGGGACTGACTGGAACTTCTTTCACCTCCCTGGTCCGTTTTCATGACACCGACTTCCTGCCTCGATTCTCCCTGGAGCTGGAAAATAATCCATTGCTAACTTTATCTGTACTATCATTGTTAAGGGGATGTGAAAGTGGCGTCAAAGAGGTCTCGTTTATGAAACTTTTCTTTTAACTGGGCCCATCGAATCGCTTCAAAGTTTGCAACGTGAGTATGGAGGCTGTGAGGAAGGTCCTGTCGTCCATACAATTTACATTCTTACAAAATTTGTTTATACGCATTTGTTTTAATTCTGTATTAAGAAGGACATTTCATGGGGGTCAGGACCTTCCTTATAGCCTCCACATTCACGTTGTAAGGTTTGCGCAGTTATGTCCAAGTAACGCAAGCCGGTTTGAAGTGTCTCGCTGTACAAAGATAGACTTCTATAAAACGAGGAGAACGACGAAGAAAGCCCTTTCCCCTAGCTAGCTTAGCTTCGGAGAAAACGGTTTGTCACGAGCCTTTGAATGGCACCTCGCTCATCTCACCGAAAGGACGCGCAAGTAACGCGCACATAGACACTGTTACAAATGCAGACCTGGGTAACGCATCATTCTCTATTTTAAATGCAATGCGGAAAACGATTTTCCCTTTCACAGTTCAAGGGGACGGTTTTTAAACCATTTTGCATTCCCTATTAAAGGGATTTATTTTAAACAGTTTATCCAGCTTTGGTTAGATGACACTTTCCTCGGTAATGAGACTGCGTAAACTCAAATGACATGTTCTGAATTTAATCTGCCAATTTGAATGGGAACTTTTGTTAAACTCGCATCCGCGAAATCGCTTTCTTGTGACGTCCTTTGGCGTTAAAAATCCGTTAACAATTTCTGTGTACGTATGTGGTACGTAGTGCGTGAATATCGCCGGTTGAATTGAATCGAGATGAAGCCTCAAGTTATGTATAGAGCTTGGAAAATATTGTGTTGCACTCTGCGGTGCCGTAATCGACTCTTGCCGATCAAACCACAGACTAGTATCAGTGGGTTACATCAATGTTGGGTATTTTAAGATCGGATTCAATAGTTACAACTGGGCATACGTAACGATTAAACGATAAACTTACAGTCTCAGTATTGCTTCCCTTTAGAAGCAACATGCTTAATTATGGACTGATGGAAAATCCAGGGAAATTTACGTAGGATTTTCACACACTGATGTTCTCACGTAGAAAAACGTGAAACGGAAAGATTACGAATCGGACAATGTATAAATACATATAACGTTGTATATTAAATGTAACATTGTGTTATATTTAATTAAACGAATTATTTTAATTTAAAATATCTTGATAATACAATTAATTAAAATGAATTATCAAGATATTTCTTTGGTTCAAGGAATTATTTCCTTCCAACGTAACGTAATTACCTCGAGGTCGTTACTTCTCGCGAAGCGAATTATTCCTTTATACGGGAACTAGGATTCTTTAACAACAATTACAATTGTCATTTCACATTTGATACACTATCGAAATCTACGTTACTAAATCTCAGAAACGCTGCGTTACGTTATCGCTTAGAAACGCGCTCGTTAACTGAAACGCAAATGAGTTCCCCGAGAACAGTTACAAGATTATTATTTCTTCCTGCGAGGAGGAGGTAACGCGTTATCTCCTCCTACCGAATTATAACATATTTTTAGCCCTCACAGCCTCTCCATTGGCTCGGATCTTACGGAGGCCCCGCCATGTGTATACAGAACGAGCCAATGGACCGGTGCTCCGATTTTATCCTCAACTCTTAAGAAGAGGGAAACTACGAGTATCAGTAGGCAACATACGTATATACACATGTACACCCTAAGAAAAAAAAATAATCCATTGAAACAAGGAAATATTTCTTAGAATAGTACCAAAGAAATACCGATTTCATTGAAGGAATAATTATTTAGCCCAAATAAGTTACCAAAATTCCGCAGAACCGTCGCATCCAATTCATCCGAGTTGATTTCAGGGAAATAATTGTCCTCTGAATGAACAAAATATTTCTCTGATTCAATGGGATTTTTTTTTTCTCAGTGCGCTAATCACGACTGGTGTGATCGGACTTAAATGAGAAATGGCCGCGAGGTATAAATCGCTAAGAGATCCCGCCAACATGAGGTTGTTTTCGTTCCTCTTCCTCGTTATTTATCTTTCCCCGGTTCTCTCTCATTCCGCCCGCTTTTGTCTTAGAATGCGTCTTTCTCGGCTTCCCTAAGAAGACGCCGCATCTTCCTCGCTCCGCGGAGGTATTCCTTCGACAGCTGCGACCACATGGCCATTTTTCTCTGATCTGACATTAAGAGCTCTTCGATACGATCCTCTTACATGTTGCCAGCGCACAGTTAATATTAGTTTAAAGTTTGTTATTGTAAGACGTGAGGCGTTGCCATGGACTTCCTCCGAAGATTGACCGCGCTTTAGGACGCCATCCGGCTAATGCCGCGCGCCGCCATTGTTGTTCCCCAAATAATGCCTCGTCTTGAAGTCTTGCCGCCTTGACGGGAAGCATTCGGCATTTTTACCGCACCGTGCATTAGAAATGACACGTGCCACGCTTTCCCGTCGACGGATCGCACGTGCTTGCTTCCTATCCGCGCTGAAAGTTGTCTGTAAAAGCCGAGGAAGAACGGAATGCCGACGCCACCGCCGCCATCTTGAAAATCACCGACCGCCGGTTATCGCGAATTTAAGAGTAAATCATGAATTTTACAAGTCCAGAGCACTAAACTACCCGTTTTTGTTCCTTAGTTTAGTGTCGAGTGATCCGAAAAGAACGCATTGACATAAATTGCGACTTAGAATGACTGACGGATTATTCCTGATCGCCTTCGCGTCATCGGTGAAGGCGCCAAGCCAATTCGGACGGCGTTCTTCTGGGCGATTTAAAAAATTCCCTGAAGCTTACCTTGTAGGTAGTCTCAAGGATGTAAATAGGATATTTTTTAGGACGAGGTCAGTTTAAATATACATATATCGGAAGGAACGAATGAAGGACGCCTAGGAATTCTCCCTAATGAGCGTGGAATGACGGGGTGTCGCACATGGAGCTTTTTCCTTCTTACTTCATGGACAGTTGACACCCTCGTAAGCTTGTCACGGCAAATATGTTGACAGGCCGTTCTCTGTCTTGGATGTCGTTGAGAAGAGGGAAAAAGAGAGAAAACGGCAAAAAGCTTGACTAAACCGACGTTACATCTTCGTCGGCGAAGACGATGTTCCGCTTCGGCATCTTTTTCCTGTTCTCTTTCTTTTCTTGCGGGAATCAAAGCGGAGGACTTCTAACTAAGACACTTGATACACTTCACGGTTTTTCGGCTGTTAGAGCTTCTGTTTTACTCCCTGTTGATATTTTAGTTCATTCCGTTGAACACTATTTTCCTAACGCTTATGCTGTAAAAGGAAAATTATGCATTCGTGCGTCGAAGAAACATAACGCGCGGCATTAAATTAATTGCAGAAACTGCGCTTTATTATGCGAGATATTCTGTATGTAAAAATGATCTTTAGTAATTCTCGTAACACATGGATTTACGACTTTGCCTCAGGATGTCAAAATCAAGCGGACAAAATCACAAGTCTAACCTATCCTCTATATTTATTCGTTAACATTTCGGGTTTAGAAAAAGTAAGGGCAGCGCAATTTCCGGGTAATTTTCTGTAATGACTTTTAGACGTTCCTTGATTTTTCAGAAGTCATCGTAAATGTGCGGATTGGAGCGTTTTTCTGAAAACGCAAATTCGCCCTTGCGATGCCACATTGCACCAACAATTATGGTTGGTACCTTGGGAAATTCTTTCTCGGTATTACTGGCATATTCCTCCTCTACGTGCGCTTCTTAAAGGAGCCGTAAGTGTGTAATAATTATTCCCTCTTTCGGGAAGTACCTTTAAATAATTAATTCGTCATTTTCAATTGACATTCCATTTTAGAGATATACTTTGTCTGTGTCGACCAAGGAAACGAGAATGGGCCAGGTCGAAAGGAAAAGAGTGAGCTTTTATTGGCTTTACGTGCAATTATTATTTCTAAGAGCTACTTTAATCTGTCTTGTGTCGAATTGCCAAATTATTTGTTGGAAATTTTCCGCCACCTTCTTGAGAATTATTATTCCCAACGTTTGTAAGATTAATGACTAAGCGACGTTTCGGAGAATTCTTAAGAGACGCTTCACGATGTTTGATTGGCTATTTTGTTATTTTGCGAGATACAATTTGAGACAAACTGACAATGTATAAATTAATAACATTTCATTCTTGTCCCGCAGGCGAGCTGATCGATGCACCTGTAAAAAGAAGTAAGTTTTGCCGTTGTTGGTAGCAAAGTAAGAACAAATGCTCTCAAAAATTATTAACGAAAATTGACCAGACAATTATATGGAATTAATTAAACTAATGCGTCTACAGGTTTTCTCGTGGTCAGAATTATTATGCGTGTGGTTGCAAAAAAAGGCCGCCGTAAGTGGAATTTTCATTTGATGACATTGTTGTTGATACATTTTTTAATATTAATTAATATCTTTTTATATTCCTATAGACCTGAAGATGCTCAGAAGGAAGCTGTTCTCCAGCGAGTAAAAATTAACACCGACAAGGACAAAGAATGTTGTTGCAGCCACAGAAAAACTAGATGATGAAAAGGACGTCGATAAATAATTTTTCAGAAATATTCGATGAAAAATCACAGTTAAATATCAAAGTGAGAAACGGAAACAAATATTAATAATGTACAAATACAAGAAATTTTGTACCTCGATGAGGTAGAGTATAAAATCGGTTACATTGGAATACTATCCTTGAAAAGAGACGAGGCAGAGAGAGAGATATCAATAGTCGGAGATTTCGGAAAATTAGGCAACAGAGAATTTCAGAGACGTCGGATCCAACGACTGACAATCCAATTATCTTGAAGATATTTGAAGAAACGCGAGATAAAAATAACATTGCCTCCGAAGTGCTGGAAACGGACATTAACAAGGTTTCTCGTATAAAAAAACAAGCCCGGATAAAGTACGGTCGATAGGGTAAAGATAAAGTTGATTAAAGCAAGGGAACGAAATGATGAACCTCATAGTTCAAAAAAAGAAAATCTATCATCCCAGCTCAGAGCGTGAAATATCTTAAATTCACTGCTTAATAAAACGCAGTTCTCCATTATCTCTGCCATACAAAGGAAGGAAGTGTAAGTATATTCTTTAAAATGAGAAGACATTAAAATGATATTAAAAATAAGGTATAACAATTCATTCCCTTGTTCAGGTCTTGTAAGTGAAAACGCAGAGATCGCCTCGCACCGCATTCGGAGCTCTCAATTAAGCGGTTGGCTACTATGGAAATAAATAATAAATCACTGGGCAGACCTAGAGAAAATAAAATGAGGAGTGGAAGAAAAGGAGGAAGGCCACGAGTGGGTAATTATTAAATAACCATTTTCGCAACTAAGCCCGGGTTTTCGTTAGTAACGTGTGAATAAAGGCACGCGAGTCTCTAGAGGAGTGCGTTCCAAAAGAAGTCTGAAACTCGATTAATACGCGTCTTGCTCCGACTTGACGGGTCTATAAGTGGATCCCCGTTGGAAACGACATCAGTCATATTCATACATTATTCCAAGTCCGAGCCTCCCAGAGCACCGGCCAGGGTGTTGCTCCGCCTTTTTGCTAACGAGATCCCCGATACTATAACAGTATACACCTAAATGCCAAGTCCCTTCTCAGGAGCGACGTGACACGTCGTCGACGTTGACGTATTATTTATTTCCTCCGGGTCAACGGGGCCTCCGAAATGGTATTTCGACGTCGGCCATTTGGCCGAGTCTTCCTCCCTTTGCCACTTGATTTAGTCACACAGTTCATCCTTTCATTAACTCCCCTTGCAATATACATCCTGTAACTACTCGTCGATATCTTCATTAACTGTCAATTAACGACCTTACTCTCGAGATATAGAGTTTCAAAGGAATTACATTTACAATTTTAACGGTACTCCGTATGATCGCGTCGAGTTGTCCCCTAACTTCGTGCCATTTTTTGTATTTAAAAGGAAACATCTACTTTAAGAAGTAACATTAATCAATTATTTCGTTGTTCACGACTTATTTCCAATGTCCTGTTAGTTTTTTGGGTTACAAAGTGACGTTAGGTAAAATTGTTAATAATTAAACGGCTCGAGCTTACAGCCCACCCTAATATACGCAATCCAAGATGGCGCCTTTGAAGCGTTCCCTGCGTTTTTGCCATGCTGTTTACTGAGTCCTTTTTCCCCCCGCAAATTCAGATTTCGCAAGCCGGGAACGAGGGGCAATGAGTCGTCTCACGTTCACGCAAAAGAAGTCGCACTTAATCGCGAGCCCTCGCCCTTTTCGTCCCTATCTAGCGAGATCTCTGAATGGCGGCCATTGTGCGGGATAAACATCGCGTCCGCATCTGCAGGCTTGGGCGGATTTTGCCCGCATTCCGGGAATAAAAGGAGCAAGCAATCTCGGCAAAATGGGGGGTGGCACTCGGACCAGGAAGGAGAAATATATTTTGAAACGCGTACGAAGATGTTAAACGAGCAAACTGTCCGAGCAGGTCGGTTCGTCTTCCCTCTGGCGGTGGTTTCTCAAGGTATTTCGACTCGACGTTCCCGGTCTGAGAACCAAAGCCAAAACGACCCGGTCTATTTCCACGGTTACTGTTACGCCCGTTTTACAGAAACACCCGTCAAGAAATGCGCGTTTAACCCATCAGACATGTAGCGCCGCAAATGTCGATGCTCACTTTCTAAAATTATACACTTATCTCTTAACAAGTACCATATTATCTTTAAATAAATACACCCAGATTAAAATGCTTCTCATCCGAGTTAATCTCAAGACACCTCGAGCATGTATTCCGTGTCAGGCAGCAATCTTCGTTCCTTGAAACAGTCTTCTATCCACTGGCTTCGTACAAGCTTAAGAATTCCTCTTTTCGAGGCAATAGCATCTTTATATCGAGCGCTGGCTTGCGGGATGTTTTCATCGAGGAACACCCTCGTTACTTTATCGTGAATGGTCTCTTCCACTATCCCATCCATGAATCGAAATTCATATTTTCTGCAGTCCATCGGGTCGTCGAAAAATCCAGCAACGCCCCTGAAGACCGAAAATGGAGAGACTCCCTCTTCGAACAACTCCTTGTCCAGCTCCTTGCACTCGTCCAATGTAATCGCCACTTCGCTAGCCTACAAAATCAAACCTTTACTTACATATCAAATTTATATCGTATTTTTATTCGAAGGGTCTTCCATAGAAATAGTAGCTATACCTTCCCCGACATTTCCAAAGAGCGCGACAAACTGTTCTCATCAGCCTCGCAAGTGAAGCTGTCGTAATAAATGTCATAAAGCTGGAAAAGACGATGTCTGGTGGGTTCGCTCGCGGAAAATAATTCCCAGGGGAACCAGTCTTGCAGAGCCGACCAGTTTTCCTCTTGCGTAACGCGCATAAGCCAATCCAAATTAGCCACATCATATCTTTCACTTTTAATCAGAATTTGCGGCTTTACCTGTAACGATATCGTTAACGGGTGTCATTCAGTACCGACACCTGGTGAGATACACAGAAACAAAGTGCCTCGAGTAAAGGAAATGATTCCTTCGAATGTAGTTAAAGAAATGAAACGTATAATATCGATTTCTTATTTTATTATTTCAAGCCGCGGGGTATTCGATCCATTGGTTAAACATTCGGCATCTTTGCAGCGGAGACTATATTTATTTGATCTTACTCCTGTTTCTTTAACTCCATTCAAAGGAATGATTTCTTTCAGAGAAATAATTCTCTTTCTAAGCGTAGACTAGAAGATACCTTCTTAGGATCTCCTACAATCACGCAAAACGTAGAAGGTCCTGCATTTTTCACGACCCTGGCTCCATGGTCCAGCAAAATCCTTTCAACGTCGCTCTTCGTCAACTTTTCGTTCCCGTTGATTACGCAAACCTCCTTCCCATCGAATAATCGAGTCAACCTCACCACCTCCGAGGCTCTTGGCTCGTCATAGCTTCCCTGTATTTTGATTTCTTTTAATCGCAACACTCTCGGAACCTTTTTACGAGGAGCGTCATCGATGTCCTCTACGGTTGCGTGCCGTTTCGTTAATTTTTGTACAACGCCGCTGGTCTGAAATAGAGTAATAAAATAATAAAAGGTTATTCTTGTAGAGAGAAATTATGGTTTAGATGCGGAATGTTTACTTGAATCAGTGATAAAAACTGCGTGGTTGTACACGCGTCGTCCCATGGCTTATCATCTCGAACTTTCATTACTCGAGGAAATCTCAGAGTGTATCCAATAGGATGATCTGGACAGCGAATTATTTCAGTCGCTCGTATTTGCAGCACCGTGGAATGTTCAGGGTGGATCCATAAATCTGGTGGACATACCTGCGATTTTTAATGAAAATTTATTCAATCCCTCTCCGTGATAATTAATCTATTTGTTTCGCGATGGGTTAGGCGATGCGAAAGCGGCAGTCAATGTTTTATGATACTTTTCTCCCAGCTGGATGTAGCGAATCATTTCAAACTTTACTACATCAATGTGGAGACTGTATAAAAGGTTCTGGTACCCATGAAATTTCATTTTTTATACGAACTTTTAAAAATGTCTATAAAGAAATTTCAAGAATATTGAAATGATTCTTTTTTGATGCCACTTTCACGTGACCTTATGGCTAATTTGTTTCCTCTGACGTACCCTAGGACCAACGACTCCTGGGGGAGCTTTCGCAGCCCAATGTTCTTGGAACTTGTTAAGCAGCTCGTTTAGCTTCTCTTTAGCTATCCCAGAACTTACTGCACCAACGGATTGGAATTCCGTAGGTTTTCCTCCAGGTTGAGCAGGGGGACACGCCGCACCCACCAGGAAGCTGTTCACCACTCCTCGACATTTTCCCTCGCCATAAAATCCTCCAAGGATCACCAAATCTATGTCTTGCACAAGTCCGTCCGAGTACTGTTTAAAACAGGTGAAAAATTACAGCTTTCTGTTTATATTATTAAATGTATTTTAATTTACCACTTCTTCATTACGTGAACGTACTTCGGCTTTTATTTTGTAGCAGCCACTTCCTTCGCGGATTTTCGGGACGTAAAGTGACTCCGACCTTTTCAGTACTATTCCCTCGTCATTGTTGTCCAGACTCACGTTAAATAATTGCAGTAGCTCCTCCCTGCGCGATGAAAATGTATACAAATTGCCATACAATTATACACATTGTCCGAGGGAAATAAATAAAATTTCAGGGATGGAAAAGAAAAATTGATGGAATACCTTTTCGAAATTATCTTGCTCTCGCTTTTGACCAGGACTCCTTCCTCCTCTGAGAAAGCAGTGTCCAGTAATTTAAGTCTCTCTTTTAAGGGCAAATTGACAAGCAACTGGTCATTGTACATGACAATGTCGAAGGCAACAAAGCAAGGTTGGTGATGACTCGTAGGAGACAATTTTTTAACGTCAAATGCCATTCCTTTCGATCCGAACTTCTTGTTTATTTTGTGCCATCCCATCAGCTCCCCGTCCAAAATGATCGAGTGGCAATTAGGGTTCACCAGACTCGCAATTTTCCTCGATAAAAATCCTACATGACATACCGATAGTTAAGGTTACATTATGAAGCAGAAAATCCCATTTCTTTTCATGGTACCTTTCATTTCTTTTAACGAAGAACAAATACTTCGCTCGAGTTATTCCATGTTTTTCTTTTTCTCTTCAACATTATCATTCAATTCAAATGAGCATTATTCAAAGGAATTTTTCTCAATACAGTCATCCCAATTGTGGTAACAATTACATATCACGTTTCCCCGTGTACGTTTTTAGTGCAATGAAAAGCTGACGATACATTTCATTTCATAATCCAAATTATCATTACCTGCGTCCTTAGTCTCGCCGTATCCTTGATTGCTCGAAATATCGAAACCCATTCTTGTGAAATATTTAAATTTTCCATCTTTCATGTGCAACTGAGACCTCTCCCCATCGTATTTGGTTTGTACAAAGTAAACACTCTGGTCTCCTTTGCCGAATAGTTTTCCAATTTCTTCGATTTTACAGCGTTCCAAGAGCATTGGCTTAAAGTGAGTGAAAATCTCGATACCAAATCGCGCTCTGATTTTTGGATCGGACAATTTTTCGCAAACTTTCCGAAGGCTGCTCGTCACGTCGAATAAATCCTCAGCGTCCGGGTGGAAGGCTGCAATTTTGATTAGAATTTTTCAGAATTTTTTTACGTGATTTTTTTAACGATACGAGATACGAACGATCTGCCCCGATATGTAAATCAGGAAACTAGGAGACCATCGAGTGAATTTTCATTTAATTATATTTTTAATAATAATTTCTTAAGTAGACCAACCTTCGAATATTCTTTTCTGTCCCATACCGAGTCTTAAATCTTTGAGGATAATTCGAGTCAACCATTTCAACTCGAATGCACTTATCTCCCTCGTTATTATCTGAAATTCCTGGTCTTTGCTCTGATTAGCCGCGTTTCTCGCGGCTACATTCTCAAGGAAGGTATTTATTTCCTCGATAGACCGGGAAGTTTTCACATCGGGAAGACGAGTTCGCATCACCCAATAGACGCAGTCAGCAAAATCTCCAACGTGGGATTTATCCGACGAAGGGGCTCTAAATAAATATAGAAAATTAATGGGAGAGACACTCTGATTAAATCCCTTCCTGGAAGGGTTTATCGATGTAAATTTACATACTCAATCGTTGATTATTGTCTTAAAGAAAGTTATAACACGATATTACATTTGATCCAAGTAAAACTGCACCAATGCGGTAAATATACAATGTGCATTTATACATTTTCCAACTTGTAATCTCTCCGCTTTACGTTTCTCTACGTGAAATTTCAACAATGAGGTATGCAACAATGTATGTAAATTTCCAGCGATTTTAATCCAGGGTCGGGAATAAAAATCGGACGGACGAGCTTACTTATAATTCGTTAATTTTTTCGCATTCTGGCTGTTTTTCCCAAAGCAGAACACGCGAATGTATAAATTAGCCAAAGTCTTCTCTTTCAATCCGTGAGGTCCGCGTTCTCGTTCGAGTTGCGGTAAAAGTAACCTGAGTAGCGGAAACATTGATATATCCTAGGGAAAAGTATATGTTTATTTATCGGATAAATCGTGCGGCGGAATATCGTCTAAAAAAAAATAAATAGCCTACCGCGTCCGGAATTTTGTTCTTAAGTTTAGCAGCCAACTGTCTCACGAGATCTATGAATCTCCGCAATTCCTCCAATTTCGCATTTCCTTTAAGCCTGGTAATTCGTTCCAAGATCTCGCAGAATTTTTTGAATTCGATCTTCGAGGCTAACGTCGTGGTCATTTTTGCTTTCTGGAATGAAAAGGGTATTTCGATGAAGGAGGATGTTACTTATTCATCCCGAGTTAAATGGCAACTACCGCACTTTAAAAAATCGCTGTTACAGTAAAGTAATGACTTGTCGAGGAAAGAAAAAGACAGTAGTTGGAGATATTTAAAAAATGTTTAGAATAGGCAAATATATGTACAGGTTTATGGCTTATTTTATACTTTAAGACTAGTACGTCACACTGTGATGTAATTCTCTAGATACATTCTAGCCAAAAGGTGATTCTCAGTGCTGACGTAAATCAGGTGTAAGTTAAAAGCGGCCTCTTTCCTTAAATCTAAAAGATTCGAGCGCTCTTGAATAAGTTTAGGCACTGGAGATTCAAGAACCAATTTGTAATGGTAAATGGCTCCGGGCAGTAAGCCAAGCTGATGGTAACACCGTGCCATATTGTAGTTGACTTCCTGTTCACCTCCGTCTCCTCGAAGTTCCTTATATTTTTTGAAAAATGCGAGAGCTGGAAGAAAAAATCGTAGTTGTTTGAAGCATGTAAAAAATCTATCAGAATAATAGGTAATTATTTATAAAGCTGGTGAGAGAACTTCTCTACCAAATGATAAAATCAGCGTTTAAATTGGTACTTAATAATATTCCCATAACTTACCTTGAACCACGAGTTGATTCTTTTTAGCAGAAAACTTCTGGCATGCCATTTGTAAAAATGTAACTCCAATTAAAAGGCACAGCAGTGGATTAGGGCTCACTTTGAAAAGTGCAACGTAGTCGTTCAGAGCATACTTGTACGTTCCAGACACAAGACAATTGTTTGCATGTAAAATATGCAAATAAGAAAAAGCATCTTCCTGTCCCAAAATTCGCATAATAAATCTGTTGTGCCTACAATCTTCTGCTCGCTGTATAACCACGTTCAGTAAATTCCATGCGTTGGACCTTCGACAAACTCGCACTAGCTCCCGGACCAAATTATATCCATAGTAAGAATCCCTGTTATGGATGCACGAAATCAAGCTAAGAAATATCACATATGAATTTAACTCTTCGAATTTTCTTGATGTCAATGCACTGCAGCACACCCTTTGAAGAAGACCGAATTTTTTGAGGTTAAAAGCAACTTTGCATATCTGTAGCAACAGGAGGAATTCTTCACGTATAGTGGGTTCATTGTTCGTAGAAAAATCAGGAGAGTTTTCATCTTCTAGAGACTCCCCACGTGACAGCCGATACAGATTCAAAGCATCGATTCGTTGACGGATACCGGTTGCTTTGATCAAGCAGTGCAGTTCAGCTTTGGAACGAAGGATAGCACAGTGTCTTGAAAGTAGCAGCATCCCAGACCGTAGAAATTCACCATAATCCTTGACCTCCAAAAGGAGTAAAGTTCTTTGATACATCACTCCTGGATCCAGGATATCCACTTCAGGATCTTGTTTCAGAACCTCGATCGCCCTGTGATACTGATTCGTATATTTGTACAATTTAGCGAGTTCAATTCTCGCTGCCAAATGTCGAGGGGAAAGGGTCCTTACGATCTCATAAGACTCGATAGCTTTCTGTACATTCTGACAGCCGACCCAGCATTCGGCATGTCTCAGCCACACGGCAGCCAAACTGTAATTTTCACTTTTAACCAATCGTTCGAGGAGAGCCAGAGCTCTGCGAAACATATATTTTGTCATCAATGCCTCAGCAATATCTAAGAACAGGTCTCCGGAAACTTCAGGATCTTCCGTAGTGTAGAACTTCGGTAAGAGCTTAATCACTACATCGATTTGATCTAACTCGATAAGAATGACCAGAAGTTTTGCTTTCAGATCTACGACTACGTTATCAGGCATTTCACAGGACTCGATTTCAAGTTTTGTCTTGGATTCTTTGTTATCTGTCTTCTGAACACGAGCACTGGGAGAACTTTCCTTAGCGATTTTTATTTCTTTTGTTCCTGCATCATCATCCGCACTGTTTTGCTCATTAGAAGCCTTATAGTGTATTTGAATTTTTGTATATTCGGTCAGTAAGTCTAGACATCTGCGGTATTGTTTCACTGCGATAAGCAACTCTATCATAATATTAACTTCCTCCAAAGTGACAAGCTCAGGACATTTAGTGAAGATGTGTTCCATTGCTTCTAGTGCTTGATCATTGTTGCTGTCTTGCATGCATCTTTTGGCAACCATTTTTGCACACTTGACGATATGATTTCCATCTTCCGATGTTAAATGATGGAGTAACTTGAAATATCCTTTAAGAATTCCCCTTTTGTCACCAATCTCTTCTTGAAGCTTTGCCCTGGTCTCGTACAAACATATATCTTTCGGGTTTCCTTGGATAGCTTTGGAGTAGCAAGTTATGGCTTGTTTGATGTTATCATGCTCTAATGACAGATTTGCAAGTCTGATCCACTGATCAGCATTTTTTGGACTAAGATGAGCTGCTATTAAAGCAAATTGAAGAGATTTCTGTGGCTGATCGTTTTCATAAATCATTGCCAAGGTGTAAAACGGTTCCGGAGCACTTGGCACTTGCCTGAAGAAGTAAACAATTTTTTCCATTAAGGATGAGTTTCATTTTTGTATGAAAGCACTCAATATATCTATTTATAGGGTACTATAACTTGCCTAATAATCTCCATACACATTTGTACCGCTAAGTCGACCTCTCCCCTTGCAAACCTCAAATTAGCCTCTCCCATTAAACCTTTAAGAGCGGGTGGAAGAATTCGTCTTCTACGTTTAGATTTCGTTTGGGAAACATTGGTTGACTTCTGTGACTTGCTTATGCCAAATTGCTTCGAAGCCATTAATTCATTTTCAAAGGCTTTTCTGAAATCGAAATAAGTCATCACAGAATACTGCTTTTTTCTGTTCTATGTATAACGGTTAAAGCCTACCTAGAAACTTCAGAGTCTACTACTTCAGTCTCTACGCTTTGATCCATCCGAAAAGAGTACTCCGAGAATGTTAGTTCACCATTTAAAAATTGCTTTGTCAAGCGGTCTTCTTCATCCGCTGTTAGTACCTCTTGACGTTCAGCATCAGATGGTACATCGGTGAAATTATTACTTTGATTAGGTTCATTTCCACTTGCAGCAATAAGCCCTGGCACTTCGTGAGCTTCTAAAGCTTCGGCTTCAATAAATTCGGTCATATCCACATCCATAGAACTAATAACGCTTTCATCTAATTCTTCTATCACTACAGGTGCTAACATCGAATTTTCATTGATGATAACAGGAGAATTAGCACCTGACTGTTGGAGCTGGAACACAGCTCGTGCATCGTCTTTGGAACTCATTTTGTCACTTCCTAAGTAAATAAATAAATTACATGACTGCCATTCCTCTTTACAAGAACTCCGCAAAGTGTAACTTTTGACACGTTTAAATAAAAATTAATAATTCAGCATGAAATATTTTTAGCATTTCACGCAACATCGTAAAATTATAAGTGTATGTAAAACTGTTTCATGTAAAAGGTGCATAGTCTCACAAATTTCATATTTGTCGCAAGAGCATAATACACGTTTTAATACACCATCTTATATACCTTTTACTACTAACAATTCATTGTCATGCTTCTAATTATAGACTCGATGCAATGCCAATTTACTATAAATATACTCAAAACGTGAAAATATCAACAGGGAACTTACGTACAGCTTAGAATATTAAAAATAGCATGTTTATTTACCTACAATCCTGTGCCTGGGATTTTATACTTCTTGTTTTGCACTATTGCACAATTAATTTCCTAGCATGAAAACATACGAATACTTTTTAAATTTTCGGCACTGTTGATTGCTGTTATTAAATATTACAAAATTCCTGTGATTTGTAAGATAAGTGAATATGCACAGAACGCGTAGTAGTCAGAAACGGAGAGGTTATGTTCGGTTCAGTATTGACTATACACGATAAATAAATTTCAGCCTTTTTGTGATTTCTTTAGGATACAAGTAATTAACATTTACATTAATGTTTATCACTTACAGAATGTGAACATAGTCCGGTAATTAAATAAATATATGATCACAGAGGTTATGATCAATCTACCTGTTTCGTTAATTTGTCTTGAATAATTGCTTGATTTCGCAGAATAGATATTTGTCAGTATTTATAGAAGGTTAATTAACATACAATTATTACTTTTCTGTTAAAACTTTAACGATAATACAAAGAATTAAAAAAAAAACCATAAGAGTGACATCTCCGACACGCCTTAATACGCAGCGGAATCGCGGAGCTTACTTCACCCGAGGACCGTCTTCTATTTGTTTTCATTATTTATAATTTGTTTACAACCCAGAGGTTTGCGATAGTGGAAGATGTCAGTACGATTAACGAGATAACCAGTTGCTCCGCCAGAGAATCGTAAGCAAAAAGGCTCTTGTAGAAATGCGCATTTCATCATGGACTGCGACTTTAGGAATTTTGAGGTTAACACGTGAGTACGACAGAGATTTAAAAGTACTTGATTATTTATTTTTTTCTTATCAATCTTGTATTTTTGCAGAGAAGTGGTACGTTACCTGGTAATGCAAAAGTTGAAACACCCGTTAATGGTGACAGATCAACAAAGAATAGCGTAGATCACTTCAAAAGGATATATGTAAACAATGTGCTTTAACGTGGTAAGCTTTTCAATGTACATTGCACATTGGATTGTATCAAAAGATCTTTCATATTATTTAATACAATTGATAATGAATAGCTCAAAAAGTAAAGCATTTCAAATGAATTTGACAGGTGTCGACTGAATGCATTCGTTTTAGCAAATAAAATTCCTTGATTAAGTGAAATTTCATATTCGATATGAATTAATAATTGCACTGTAGTTTAAAATCCTTGTATATCTGTACCAGGCACAAATAACATGAAGCCATATGTTTTTTGGCTGGACATTTTCCTGGTGCTGTTAACCGTTGCTGTAGGTGAAATCGGAGAAAATCGATCCAGCACTTTGGGACATAAAGGAAACACTCCTTTCCCAGAAACTCAGCCATGTTTTCAAACTAGTCACTCGACTCCCAATTTATGCAATTCGACTCGCGACCAAGTCGAAGTTAAAGTTAAATTTTCTACAAGAATTGTGAAAAACGAGTATATCGTTGCCTTTAAAGGCTACTACAAGCCTCATACCCGAGAAAGCTACATTGGAGCTGCATTAAATTCTTCCGGCATTCGAAATTGGAAAATTCTTTCTCGTGACAATCCTGCCAGTGGGTTTCCCAGTGATTTTGACGTGGTACTTTTGGAAGAAACCGATAAACACAATGGTCTTAGCGCATTAAGTGACCATCCCCTCGTGAGAAGGGTTACTCCACAAAGACTTGTGCATCGGACATTAAAATATATTAATGTGTCCGAGGATGGCGATGCTCCTGAATATAGAAACTTCAGGCGGAAAATCAATAACTATGTAGGTTAATAGAAATTCACAGTGAGAGCCTAGATAAAACCGAATAATAATTTAAATGGTTTAATCATTTCAGAACAATCAATATTGGCAACCAGCAAATCGCCATGCATCTCGAAGATTATTACGTGCAATTCCTAGACAAATTACAAGCATACTACAAGCCGATGCTCTTTGGGGCATGGGTGTCACAGGGCGTGGTGTTAAGGTAACATCTTACGATACAGAATTGTACTTAAAATTAGCCCATATTAAATTTGTCTTCTTTAAAGGTAGCGGTGTTTGACACTGGATTGGCTGCAAATCATCCACATTTTAAAAAGATTAAAGAGCGTACAAATTGGACTAATGAGAAAACATTAGAAGATGGTCTCGGTCATGGAACCTTTGTCGCAGGTGTCATTGCGTCTTCTTCACGAGATTGCCTCGGCTTTGCTCCGGACGCTGAGCTGCACATTTTTCGCGTTTTCACGAACGCGCAAGTGAGTTTCCTAACTAAACACATCATAGGTTCCATTATTTCCACGGATTTAAATATTATAGTACATCGTACTCGTGCTCTTAATAGGTGTCATATACTTCGTGGTTTCTCGATGCCTTCAATTATGCCATTCTTGCTAAAGTTACCGTACTTAATCTCAGCATCGGTGGTCCAGACTTCATGGACCACCCTTTCGTTGATAAAGTGTGGGAACTTACAGCTAATGGGGTTATAATGGTTTCTGCCATTGGCAACGATGGTCCATTATACGGGTGAGAATATATTCCTGCAATTAATAATTGTTTTCTTATTTCATATCTAAGTAAGAAATAATATTTCCCTTATTTTAGTACACTGAATAATCCAGCTGACCAAATGGATGTCATCGGGGTCGGAGGAATCAATTGGGAGGATCAGATAGCCAGATTTTCATCTCGTGGCATGACGACTTGGGAACTGCCTTCTGGATATGGAAGAGTTAAACCTGACCTGGTTACCTACGGATCAGGTGTTCGTGGATCTGCTTTGCAAAGCGGTTGCAGAACTTTATCTGGCACTTCAGTAGCAAGTCCCGTTGTTGCTGGCGCTGTAGCTTTATTAGCTAGTGGCTTTGTGGGATCGGATGATTCCCAAGCCTCGAATCAAAAGGTAACCTATTACGTTAAGGAATAAGTTTTCGCCTTATTTTTAACACACTTCATTTTAACGATATGCTTTTCAAAGCAAGATTTAATGTGGCATTAATGTACCGAGTAAATTTCTCAATGATATGCAAGGTAACACCAGCTAGCATGAAACAAGCATTGTTGGGATCAGCACGACGATTGCCAGGAGTGGGAATGTTCGAACAAGGCGCAGGCAGATTGGATCTTCTACGTGCATTTCACTTCTTACGGTCATATACTCCCAGTGCTACGTTAAGTCCCAGGTGATTAAAGTCCTAAATTGACTAAACCGTCTCCTTGAACAATAATTAACATTCATCTTTTCTTGGTGATACAGTTACATAGATTTAACGGAATGCCAGTACATGTGGCCTTACTGCACGCAGGCTATCTACCATACAGGCATGCCAACTATTGTTAACGTAACAATAGTGAACGGTTTAGGTGTCTCTGGACACATAACAAAGCTCACATGGCATCCGTACACTCGTGAAGGAAATGGAGAACGCGTAGACGTTTCTTTATCTCACAGCGATGTACTCTGGCCTTGGTCTGGTTGGTTAGCCGTAGCTATCACAGTTCCATCGACAGCCAGCGATTGGCAAGGAATAGCTCAAGGTATGTTAACAACATTAAAGTATATCCATAATTAGTCTCTGCCTATTTCTGATTAAAATATAGAAGCTAGTAATTTTAAATAACAGGCCACATCTCCCTGACAATCGAGTCTCCTCCTGGTGACGGTGAACAAGAACCCAGACGAACCACAATCGAATTACCATTGAAAGCTAAGGTTATTCCCACGCCTCCTCGACAGTAAGTAGGACCATCGATTTGAGTTAATTAAAAGTGATTAAGCTTTCCTTTACGTCGAGGTTAACTCATCGTACCCGAATGCACTTTAACAGCAAACGAATTCTCTGGGATCAATTCCACAATTTGCGATATCCTCCTGGGTACTTCCCAAGAGACGATCTGCGCGCCAAGAACGATCCCCTCGATTGGAACGGCGATCACATCCATACAAACTTCAAAGACATGTACCAACACTTGCGCAATGCAGGTTACTACCTCGAGGTACTAGGAACTCCGTTTACCTGCTTCCAAGCGAAGAATTATGGTACTTTGTTAATTGTCGACTCGGAAGAGGAATTTTTCCCAGAAGAGGTAATACGTGAATTCTTAACTCTCACAACCTGTGGAACCTCATCGAGAGAATGACCATTTTCTACCAGGTGACGAAGTTGAAAAGAGACGTGGACGAGGAAGGTCTATCGGTGGTGGTGTTTGCTGACTGGTACAATGTCACTGTCATGCGGAAGGTGAAATTCTACGATGAGAATACTAGACAATGGTGGATACCGGATACAGGTGGAGCCAACGTTCCTGCCCTAAATGATCTACTTTACCATAACTGGGGAGTAGCTTTCAGTGACTATGTCAGCGATGGCCAGTTCGAACTTGGACAACATCCTCCCGTAACATTTGCATCAGGATCGACGATAGCACGGTACATTGGCGACTGATAAGATAGGCGTATGGTACCCGATTATCCTGACTAATCCTTCGTGTACTAGATTTCCCAGAGAAGGAGTGGTCCTGCACGCGGAATTGCGAGACCAAGGTCAGGAACTTCTGTCGGAGAATGAAGGTGGCGCGACATCGTTGGTGCCGATCCTCGGGTTGTTGCAAGTCAAGGGCCGCGACAAAGTGCAGCAAATTAAGGAGATCGTCAACAACGAGATACCGGATCAAGCCGAAGAGGGCGACGATGATCACGACGCCAAAGAAAGAACGAACAATAAGGCCGGCAGGCTGGCGGTCTACGGGGACTCGAATTGTATCGATGATAGCCACCTTCAGAAATGTAAGAAAATAAGATAGGTCGTAATTTCTACGAACGTCTACGTGCTGGATATAAATACATCATAGCTTCATACTTCTGTGTTATCATATGAGATATCATTTCTCGGTAGCTTGTTTCTGGATGCTGGACGCCATCTTGGAATTCGCAACGACCGGTCAAGTGCCCTCGATATTCACAGAGGCGGAGCGTCGACATAAAAATGTTAAAACTGCGGATCTTGGACGACTGGAGATCGGTGAACTACCGAGACGCATGGAAGGCAGTCATTTGAATCGCCATAGCAAGGTCCTCGAATCGGAGAGTTCTGCCGGTGGACGACTTCGTCCTTTGCCGCCATGTCCGGTTACTGTTCCTGCCACTCCGAATCCCCTAAATGATTCCGCTCCTGTGTAAGTGGAATCTACAAGTGAAAAGGAGTTAAACTAACAACTAAGAGGTCACTGTAACAAATTACATTTCACTGTTCCTATCACCCAGGAATCTGTATAAGTCGCAGAAACTGCTCTCGGTGAGCGACAACGTCATAGCAGCGGTTCCAATCCCGCAGGACTCCGGTTCTTCCTGGATAAGGCGACGAGGAGGTGGAGTGAACAACGTAATTCGACATCACTCAGGATTGAACAATGTCATTGCTGGAGTGAAGATGGAATCCTTGGAGAACGACCGATGGTTCCACGTGAACCAGTGGGGTTTCTTGGCAGGGATGATCCTCTTGGGTGGGATTCTATTTTATATGTTGAATCGATGGGGCTACTGCATACCTCGACGACATTCACGTAGAAAGAGAGCTGTGGGAAGACTGCGGAGAGTTATTCAAGCCATTGCTATTCGCAGAGTGCCACAGATGTGAGAAATTGCATCGGAAACCCTGGAACAGCTTATTTTGAATGGAACTTCCAGAAGCATCTCGTGAAACGACGGATAAAGTCTGTCCTTTACGTTGGAGGCACTCAGGAATCCGTATACATTGTATAGACGTGTTTCGTGTTCCTGGGCAGCGTATTCGTGTAGTCACGTTACAGCGTTGTAGAGACTAATTTCGAAATCGTCGCACCAATGATCCATCTTAGTCCTTGAAGCGTCTTGTAAATTGACCATTGAAAGATCAGGAAAAATCAATCACGCGTAATGCCGGTGTGGTGTAATTTTATCGAGGTTTTATCCACGTTTTTGTAGATGCGATTTTTCTATTTTTTCATTTGCATACAGGACTGGTCATGAGAAATCCTTTAGATAGCCGTGTATTTGTATGACGTGAATAATGTACCGTTTATTCTGGTTTTATTTACTGCCTGGTATTTCTACGGAGTACCTTTACTAGTACAAATGTAATTTCTTGTAAAATTACATGACACGTTATGGGCGATGTTGGGATAGAATATTTTTTTTTTATCTTATGTGTTTAAAGGAGGATGTTTTTTTATGATTGTTTAAGTACAGTGGATAATGGTGGGCTTTATTGAAACATTAGAACCTGCTTAAATTCGAGTTATGTACCTAGGTGTTTCGAGGAAATGATGGTCTTAGACGCAGCAATGGATCAAAGTACTTACTCGACTAATTATTTTTTTACGAGAAAGATCGTCTTTATGCCTCAGAAATCTAAATAACTGTCAGGCCCACAATTGTGAACGAAGTTTCGAGCGTTTTGTTACTCATGTGGCCGGAAAGAATACATATTACAGCACGGATACATCACCTAGTGCATCTTTTATAAAAGGCTGTAATATGGACCAAAATAAATTAGGTAACAAATTACCTAGATAAGTAGAGAGTAAATGTATCTTACAATTAGTTCGTCTCGTTATTTTTGTCGCTTGGTTCTTAATCATTCAAAATCTTTGCTAAATTCTCACAAGCCACTTTTAAATTCCAGTAATTTAATCGCGTATACAATGTCAAGACTAATTCCATACTTGTTCGTAATTTTTCACTTTTACCAAGTTGTTACGCTTAAATTATATTTGTACTGTTATAATCTACAACTATGAAATTACCTTCAATTATAAAATGGATTGTAGGTTATCCAGTGAGCTCTGGTTTGCTCTTCGGCAGACTTGTGAGTCGTGAATATACTTTTTAAAACTTCTGAAGCATTCGGATCCTTGGCAACGCTGTAGTCTTCTTTAGCTTTCTTATATGCAGGGTCTTCTGCCTCGACTCTTTTACTCGCAGGCTTTGTCACTACTTTTTCCTCTTTTCTATTTTTCTTTCTTCCCACCTCCTCCTTCTCACCAACTTCGGAACTTGTCTCCCCAACGGTTCTCTTCTTTTTTCCTTTCCTGTCAGCTTTCCGGAGAAACATATTCACCTCCATTGTTTTTAAGTCATCACCTTCTGCATTCAGCACGATAATGTCAGTTTCTTTAAAAGGTGTTTGGCATTTGTGGCATACCTGCAATCAAAATTAATTGATTATTAGTAGAATATAAAATATGACAAGCAAATGCTATAAAAATATTTAGTAAAATATTTTTAGATTTGTTTGAAGAAAATTGGAGGTTTCATTTTACTGCGTAATAGTAACGATAATAGACCCTACCGAAGTTTTAATTTCCTTCAAGGCACGTTCGCTCATTGCGCAGCCACACGTCCACAGGAAACAAAATTTATATTTTCCATTCATTTCCAAGCCAATGACAGGGCAAATATATGGGCTTTTTCCCCCATCGAAATACCCATCACCCTTCTCCGCTTTAGTTCCATCAAATGCAGGATTAAGAGTCAGCTGCAAGTCCTTGACATCCTTTAAATTTTTAATGTGTAGGGCTACTTCGGGAAGGGTGCTGCGATCGAGGAGTCCTTCGAGCACGGATTCTTTACTGTAAAGACGACCCAAACTGCAGGCCACAACTGGAGGTTGCAATGGCAATTGTCGTATCGTACAATGACGCCACCTGAATGCTAATTCTGCATCTTTATCTTTCTGTAAGTAAAAGTGTCCAGTCAAAATTAGAAACAATTCACGTGTACCTTCCAACGATACTCGTAAAATTTCAACAATAACGATTTACTAAAAGTTTAGCTTTCGTATCCATTTTTTTACCTGTTCTGGCTTCTTCTTTACGCGAACGAGCTCATCTCTGCGAGGGATGGTTCCACCATCGCAACCCATTGTCCACCTTTTGGAAACACTTTATATTCTTAATCAACAAATAAACGACAGATTAATGCAAATAAAGAGCGCAGAAAAGTTGTTAAAAACAATCGCATCGACGTGACGTATACTGGGATGTATCGAAAGAGATGAGTTGGGAGATTGCCTACGGGCAGGGTAGCGCGATCGCGTCCTGTGCTGCCCCTGGTGGTTGGTGAGGCGACTAACGTACGAAACGACGAAAATAGAATGTGTATAAGAAGACAGGGACGTCACACCTCGAGGGTGTCCGTCTTTAAGTGCATTATATGATTTTGCAAAAGTTCTAACGAGTTATGGCCGAATTGGATATTATCAGTCTATTTGGTACCTGTTTTCGTCACTTTATTAGGAGTTAGAATTGCCTGTCATTCACGTAAGGTAAACACAAGCGCGAAGAAGCTTCTAACTGTTACTTGAGAAAACAGCGTGACATTTAACATGTCTGTCACTGAAGAACGAGTACAAGAGCTTAATAGACATTTCTTAGAGTTTATGAGTAAGTCTGAAAATGTCGACACTGCTACGAAAGAAATCTACGAAGACCTTTTGGAGGAGGTCTTGATGGGTTTTGTTTTCGATGTTCATCGGACAACAAAAACTGGGAGCTCTGACGTCGAGGAAGGAATTCCAGACGACGAGTCTTATGCTATCGTGGGTAAGAAAATTTAGTGGTATAGATGGGTTTAGTACAAATGTATTTCTTTGTGTTGAATCGTTTTATAGCTTATACTTGTATAACTTGGTTATAAGACTTGAATGACAGTACGCTAATTTTAGCATTATCTAAGGAAGAAGTAAAATATTTCAGATTCGCCTGGGCTGGACGTATTTGGTCAACATCCCATAAAAAAGTCGCAAGAGTGCAATTGCCCAAACTGCGATAGGGGTGTGGCTGCGTGTCGATTTGCGACTCATCTAGAGAAATGTATGGGCATGGGCCGGAATAGTTCTCGAATTGCATCTAGACGTATCGCTAATAATTCCAAGGACCTGAGCAACTTTAGTGGTGTCATTAGTGATGACGATGACGACGTGGATTGGAGTTTAACCAATGACAAACGTAAAAGAAGAAAAGACCGAAATGGAATAAAAAGAACAAAACAGCAAAAAAGTGGCCAAAGGAACGGTGAAAACGTCACTGAAAGTACGCACACAAGCAATGAAAACTCTCCTTCGAATTATGAAAATATGTCATTGGAAGATAAGAAGACATTGTTGACGCAAATATGTGGAGTGGTATCGGAACACACTAAAAAGCTATGTACTCGATCTATGCGCTGCCCTCAACATACGGATGATCAGAGAAAAGAAATGAGGGCTAGTTTAGAACCGGGAAGCAGTATGCCAAATTCTCAGGATAATCTTCACGTCGACGTTGACACCTATGACGAGGGAGATGGGCAGAATTTAAGAGAGGTCTTGACTCGATGGGACCGAGAAGGTTCGAGTCATTCCAGTCCTGCCGATTCCACATCAACTACCTCGACATCCTCTTTAAGTAGAAAACGCGACACGAAATCGAAGGGCAAGGGGAAAGCTCCTAAGAGAGACCGCGGGTCACCGATTTCTCAAGGAGATTGAATTAGTGTCGGTAATTTATTAAGTAGCTGGATGCAATTCACTTTACTAGTGATAATTATTTAATAATATTCCTCAATACTCCATAAACTTGAGTTTAACCCGCGACATGGGCGAATTCATTTTAACCAACTCGTGGTTCAATGATTCTGATTAAAATTGCTCCGCAACAATGTCAAGTGTATTGTATGGGACGAACTTAGTTGTAAATTTATTTGCTACAGTACGCTCTAGGAAAAGTATTTTAAAGCTCCGATCAACTCTATTGAGAAAATACAACATTTTTTGTGAAGAATTGATTTTTACACGATCAGCAAATGTCTATGTTGCGTGCTTTTGTATGATCATATCCTGTGACTGATCGAAGTAAAGAACTGCAGTGTCATGTGTTCATAATGAATGACTATTGGAAGGGCATTGTAAAGTTTAACCTGAGTAATATAGCAAATAACATGTTATAATAACATATTTGTGAATTTTTTTCGCGATGCGAACTGCGTCCACGGTAGCTTGATGGGGAAGGTTGTTCCGTTTAAATTCATCTCTCGAGCTAGTGGCTGCGATTTTTTTTCGAAGGAGACACAGGGTTTGGAGTTTTTGTGAGGAGTTCATCACTTTTTCAGCCGGTTCTCTGGCTGCCCAGAGTTGTAACAGGTGGCAAGTGCATTAGCCGTCTGCATCCTCCACTGGAGGTAGCACAGGACGCGGTCGCTCGATCCTTCCCGTGAGCAATCTCCCAACTCATCTCTGGGGGTGCCAGATTTACCATCGACAGGTTGAGTCGATAAGTTAGTACAAACCTAGAGGGCGTCAACATGTTTCCACGCGTCGCTTACAGATGGCAGCACAGACAAGTTTCCACCGCGTTTAAAAATTCCAGTATCATTGGAGCACTTGTTGCTGTCTTCTATTAAACGAATAACTTATTCTCTAACCGTTAAAGTATGTAGCGAATTTCGGCATTTCTTCTCGAATAAGTAAACGAGTAGAGCTTCACGCCATATACACCGCACGTTTAGCTACAGGTCGATGTATTCATGAAGCGTTCGGTCAACGGAACGAGTAAAAGTACTCATCATTTATTCAGCATCGGTATGTACACAACAGACATTACTTTCGAATAAAATACCTCGGAATGCTCGTCTTATGGTTGACTTTTCCCTCGACTGCGGTTACCGGTCTCGTCAAAGGGTTACCCTCCTCCACGACTCTGGAATGATTCGGCCATATCAGTCGGATTCATCGAATTTTTTCCCTGCTTTTCGAATTAGTCATCGTCGACCTCGCTAATCCTCCGACATTCCATAAATAAATTTCTCTTCCGATGTTTTCTACTTCTTTTCTTATTTTGTTGGTCAAACTCCGAGATATGTATCTCCGAATAGAAATAGGGGAAAAAAAATGACAGGGGGGTCTTGGATGAAAAACAATGCATGTCGTTCACCTGGAAAGGTGTCGTTGAGGGTACTTTGTTCTCTGGCTCATTATTGGACCAATTGATTGTGGTGATCGTGTGTTTTTAGACGGAAATGGTGTTGGTGGTACTGCAATACAATCTCCCTGGGTAGACTAAAGAAATTCGTAATTTTCTGCATTAGGCAGTGTAATTAATCGTTTTCAAGTTTAATAAACATAAAGAACCATTTTGGGATTTTTATCTTTTATGTAAAAATTCATGTAACCAGTGTTCGGCTTACAATTGGGGCCAATAATTCCTCCTGGCAAATCGGGGAATCCTCTTCTTTGTTGCACCACCATTGTTTAGGATTCTGATCAACTTTTGGAGGAGATAAGCAATAATGTTGCCGTGATACGTTGCATGGTGAAGACACGCTAGGATGTACGTTTTGTTTAATCTTTGGCTGGGTTACGGGCCTTTCGGCGAAACTTCTGGAATTGTGAATCATTATGGTCATTAAAAAACTCGGTAGAGTTTTGCGCCAAATACACATATGTACTCATAATTATGAAAGTGGTCTAAGTCAAAATTAAAAAAAAGAAATGAGTATCAGTTATTTCACGCCATATTATTTCAAACGAAATTAATTCAATGTAATTTCGAAACAAAAAATATATGGCTTAGACCACTTTCAAAATTATGGCCACATATAGCGTCGGCCTGGCGCGTCGTAATCAAATTTTAGACATCTAGAAATTCGTTATAAGGAATATTTTATAGCATAAAATAATATCGAAGAAGGGACTCGTGGCTCACTTTTTACTATTTGTTCGGCCGCGGTTTGCGTTTCCTTTGGCCTCGGATTTCTTGAGCTTCCGTTGAAGAGTGTCGAGGTTCGTCGAAAATACGGGAATTGGTCTCATTCTCCAAGATTGATCTTGTAGAGACGAAGTATCCATCCTGGACCTCTCTGGGAGCAACGTGGAGCAACGTCTCTCTTTGAACAATGGCTTTGTTGCAATTTTGCCAGACCTAATCCGACACCTCTCGCTCAAACTAGACTCAGGATGAACGATCATCGAGTTCCTCGGCATCTTCTCATCCTTTGCGAGGAATCTACCCGGTAAAAAATACATTTGCACATTTAGTAAAGGACAGCATTGCTGACAAAGTTTTGCTCTTACTGCAGGAACAATCCCACCAACGGCAGAATCCTTTCCAATAATATCTAACGTAGATGTGACCATTCCAGAGAGCTTTCTTTAAAAATAAAAAAAAAATAAAAAGAAGTGCCTGCCAAATGAGCAAATGAATTTGTCGCAAGAGAAAAGAGTACTGTAGTCATGAACGGAATTTCTGTTGCGAGGCGAAGTAATCGGTCTTTTGTTGCCAATGTTAACAAAAACCTTTCTGGATTAATGTTTCCCTGGCCCATTTGAAAGTATTCATGTTTCTTCGCGCATGTTAAATTTCTTATGACCGTACATTTAATTTCTATTTTTTTTTTCTGTGGTGTGCTGACAGTACGGATGGCATAAGTGTAATGTAGGATTTATCGTGCAAACTGTGTTATGAAAAATTGAGGTATTAAGGGTTTTATTTGTAACCGTGGTGACAACTACTGACTCAGAATTTTCAGACGGCTGATCAGACTTCTGCTTCCAGGTCTGAACGGCTTGCCAAGACTGAACCTGGACCACATTCGCTGAGGCAATCTTTAGCATCTCGTGAGCCCTGGGAAGTAAGTCCGAGATCATCTACGAATTCTTTAGTATCTAGGTACTCTGCGAATTAATTTTTTTACTTGATATTGTACATGCCGCCAATTTCCCCATATTTCTTCTGAACAATATCCGCTTCTATGGTGGCCCTGTCCAAACTCGTCGCTTCCGCGATCTCTTCCAGGATCTGCGGTAATGAATTTCGATAAAAAATCTCTCATTATGGCTTATTTATCTAGGTGAAGTCGGAGGAAGACGTTGGTCTTAAACAGTCGTTGGAACAATGAATACCCGGGATTTCGACAGTTTTGCGTCGATCGCTTCATCACTTCTCAACCGAAATGGCATATGGAACCCTTCAGTCCGTATAATTATCAACGTAGACTGTAAAAGACTTGAACGTAAGTAAAAATGTCGGGAACGGGACCCGCCAGCTTATGATACCACTTGGGTACTCAATGTGAAGTTACCACCAAAAAGGGTATAGATGAATTTTAATTTAGCGAGCTGGAATCAATTTCAGAGTGCCTTTCATATCATCGTAAGAGGGGTCGATCGATCTATCTACGAGGTTCGATTAGCGAAAATCGAGGAGATTCGAGGCGGCGTGGGACTCGACTTGGAGGGCCAGAAGATAGGGCATCCGAAAGGAGGGTTTTGCGAGGCTGTAGATCCACAAGAAGGCTCACCGCGTTGTGCTCGACGGCATCCAAATTGTCTTCCGACGTGACCTTGGCCGTGGTTTTTTGCCGGGCAGCGATCCAAGGATGGTAGCACAGTTCCTTGATGGTGATCCTCTTGTGGGCGGCCGGAGTCAGCAGGCGACTTACAAGGTTCTTGTACTCGACGGACATCGTGGTGATCCTTTTCTCCTGCAGCGTGGTGAAGCCACGATTAATTTGGGTCATCAACCTCCTGCGCCGTTCCTCCGAGGACGTTTGGCCATCCTCAGGACTCAGGAACGGCAGGCTACCGGTCGCCATTCCGTACAGGACTACTCCTCTGTGAAGTAATTTCCCTTTCAGACTGTGGCCATCATTTTCGAGCGCCTTTTAATTTATTACACATTAATAATACATATTAATAATATGTATTATTGATGTATATATACGTAGAAACTATCTTGATAAAAAATGGAGGGAAAAGGAAATAGGGAAATAGAAAAAAAGGAAATAGGGAAAAGCTGCAGAAGAGGTGATAGTCACATAAATCACCTTTCAGACCGTCACTTTAGATCGCCCTTTACTTACAATTAATGTATTTGTAGTTTACGCAGAAATGATCTTTACCGAAAGCAGGGACATAGGGCAAAGCTATTTAACGTTTGTGATATCTGGTGCTAGATGTTAACACGACCGTTAAAGAACAAGTAATTAACAAGAGCCTTACCACTGTGCTGCGTGTATTTATGTAGAAATGCGTTTGGGTGGTACGAGAAACGAAACGTGCTTATGGAGGTTATCATTTATCGGGTAATCATTTATCATGATAACGAAGGTTTGTGGTCGTTCATACACGGCAAGAGGATTTTATTTATCGCGATTTAAGCAGGAAATAGGGGGAAATTTCGTTCCGAGTGTTTAAGAGAAACCTAGAGGAAGATACGGAAATTCATTGGGAACACTCACAGGCTCCAAAGGTCTACTTCCGGTCCGTACTTCTTGCCGAGGACGAAGAGTTCCGGCGCGGCATATTCCGGGGAACCGCAGTGCGTCTTCAGGGGATTGTCCCTCGTGTAGAAATTGCCCAACCCGAAATCTGTGCTCATAGGGAAAGAGGAGATTAATTTCCTCCGGGTTTCCGTCTTTCAGGTAAATTATTGCAAATCTCGCAATTTCCGGGCATGAAGAAAAACCCGCCTCGCGAATGGCGCTCGCCTTGGCGTGACCCACCTACGACTTTTATTCGCTCCTTGAGCGCATCCTGCAGCATGATGTTCTCCATCTTGAGATCTCTGCAACACACGATGGGAGTCTTTTTATATCGCCAGCCAGCCGAGGGTATCGCTCGATCAGCCGGGAATTAATTGAGAAAAATAAACGGCCTCGCGAGAACATCGTCGAGGGTCCTCGGTAGGGAGCTGAAGAGGAAGGTCCTTGCGCCGTTTTCGCGCACTCGAGTTTCGGCCGAAGTCATACGATCTCGGCGTAAGTCTTTTAACCTCGCGGACGTTCCGTTACGGGATGTGGATCCCGATATCGCGTTTGAAGATCTGCCGGAAAAGGAGTCAACATGGCGAAGAAGTTAACCGTGGCCAGGCCAAAGAAAGACGATTCGACGTTTCCACTCCTCTGGAATCGTTACCGTACCTCTTGAGTTCTATAGTACGTTTTCACTCCATGACATTAATCTCAGGACTCAAAATGAACATTTGAAGCTTTATCAATGATTGGGTTCCGCAATACATTTTTTACCCCTTGAAATTAATTCCAGGACACAAAATGAACATTTCAAGCTCTTTGAACTGGCCGGGCTTTGAAATCGCCTTACAAATAGTTGGGTTCCGTAATACATTTTTGTAACCCGTGAAATTAATTCCAGGACTCGAAATGAACATTTCAAGCCCTTTCAAATGATTGGGTTCCGTAATACATTTTTTATACCATGAAATTAATTCCAGGACTCAAAATGAACATTTCAAACTTTTCGAACTGGCCGAGCTTAGAAATCGTCTTTCAAATGGTTGGGTTCCGTAATACATTTTTGTGACCCATGAAATTAATTTCAGGACTCAAGATGAACATTTGAAGCTCTTTGGAATGGTCGTCGGGAGTTGTCCTGTTTCCAACTCGATCGTCGAAATTCGCGAGGGCCGCGACCAACACCGGGCAGGGCGCGGTGCCCTTCCGTGTCGAATTACCTCGCCTGGGTCCTGAAATTCGAGAGCAGGGGGAGGTAAAAGGGAGAAGGAAATCTCGCGAGAGAGCGATGCGATTAATTTGAAGGGTGCAATCACGGGTAGAGTCGGCGCGCATGCGCAGTCGACGTCGCCTCGACCTCGGGATCCTCTCGCTCTCTCGTCATTTCTCGCTCGTCTAGAGATTCGGCTTGGATCGATTCTGCTCCTTCTGCCCTTTCGAGGGTAGAAGGCCGCTCTGTTTAAAGTCGTTTACATCGAGGACGCGATCGCAAGATTTTTCAGGGCTAACGCGTGTTTATAGAGCAAGAATTTAGTTCCAGCTGAACGTCACAGATGGCGACGCTGGTCTTAAACAGTCGTTAGAATACCGAATTTCGGGGTTTCGACATTTATACGTCGATCTCTTCGTCCTTACTTTACCGAAATGACATATGTAACGCTTCAATTCGTATAATTATCAACTTAGACTGAAAAAGACTTGAGCAGAAATATAAATGTCGGTGACGGGACGCGCCAGGTTATGTTACCATGTATTGAAAAAGAAGTTAAGAGCGAAGTAACTCGTTAAGGGTGATTTAAAATCAGTGCTATTGAATGATACCGCTTATCATTGAAAAATGATCGGCAAGAAGTACTCGGAGGACAATGTTTCCCGGATTATCGAGGTAACCTCGGCCCTGGATATCGATTTAACGATTCCCCTCCATTATTCCCGAGAAGACGAGGAAGATCATTCCGTCAGGGAAAGAACGGCCAGGGAAGGCAACGCTCGGATGCGCCGTATCACAGAATTGACCGATGCCCTCCGTGGCCTTGGCGGCGAGATGATAGTCGGAGTGACCCTGAAGACGAGGCCACGGTTGTCCATTGGCCCGGACGCTCGTTTTTCCCCGGCAGTCCCTTGCCCTCGGATGGAAACGCGTCGCATCCGATATAGGCGGAATAATGCACACCTTGCGATCCGCCGGTTTATTTCTTCATTCCGGTTATTTGTGCGCCTCCTATTCTTCACCAGAGACTGGCGAGCACACCCTCCTCGCTCGAATGGTCAAACGAGTTTGACCAGAGAAATACGGAGAGCTGACGTCACGCACGGCACTTCTGGAGTTGATGAGAAATACCCGAATGCACTTATTAACCAGAATACCGGGGAAAGAAAATCCGAGATATTGTAAAACCCAACGACAAAGCTGAACCGTCTGCTCGGAAATCGGGAAAATTGACGTGGATGGTTTCCATGGGACTAATATTGAGGATAGAAAAGGGAAACGCATAACCCGAGGTTCGATCGAGGTCGACGGTTGAATTTCAGGAGGGAGTTCTGCATTCGGCGGTAAAGTAGAATTTTCTTTTCTTGAATTTTACGGGGCAGAGGATCCGACAAAGCTGAACCGTCTGCTTGGAAATCGGGAAAAGTGACGCGGATGGTTTCCATGGGACTAAAATTGAGGATAGAAAAGGGAAACGCATAACCCGAGGTTCGATCGAGGTCGGCGGTTTGAATTTCAGGAGGGAGTTCTGCACTGGTCGGTAAAGTAGAGAATTTTCTTTTCTTGAATTTTACGGGGCAGAGGATCCGCCAGAACCGGTGTGACCGGAGAAATCTCTGCACGGTTGTAAGTCACGTACTCGGGTCGACGTATCTTTCGCATCTACGGCCCTGTGGGACTGTATGCTATATCGAAAGGAAAATCTGGCCGGATTGGGTGTAATTTACCCGTGTATATACGGGAGTACGAAGGTATAGGTCGAGCGATCCGCGGCCCAACCGCGCATTAGCCCCTAAGGCTCGCAACATTGTACCTTGATTAACCGGGAAAAATGATTATAGGACGGAGGCGGTCGCCGAACGGATTCTATGGTATTTATAGTTGGGCCGTTTTCTAGTTAAGTACTGGATATGCCGGGCTAAATGAAATGGGAGGTAAAGCGCCGATCGGATAAGCGCGATGCTATCAGGGCCCTCGATATTACGCGGTCATATTACACGGTTACCGCGGAGGAGCAACAGCTACGAGCTGTTCCGAGTCCTGAGAACAAACGCGGGGACCTTTGGACGGGTATGTAGGTGGTAAATCCCGGGATCGACCACTGGGCTGGGGCCGGGATGAAATAAATTCCCGTGGAAGGTCCTGGGAGTCCTTTGGGGGTCCGCTTTAGGCGGGCCGGCCGTAAACGTCCCGACCGGGCAGAATGCACCGGCCGGCGCGGATCGGCAAAAGGAGCGGAACGCGGCTTTTATTCGGCTTGCAAATGAAAGGATATGCCCCGGAGAGAAAAAAGGAAACCGGCCGCAGGGTTGAACGATCGGCAAAGCCGATCGGGTTTGGTCGGAGGCCTTACCTTCTTCTTCAACGATTCGGCCGACTACCAACAGGGACGCGAGGTGTTCCTCAGGGATCAAAGGAGCGATCCTGGATCCTGACTGGTCTAACACGGCTGAGGACATCGGGTTTGGTGCCATCATGAAATTGATATCGTTATTGTCTGCATCGATGGGAAGGGTGTAGGGAGAAAATCTGCAAGGCTGCGATAACCTCATTGCGCGACAACGTAATTTCTTTCACTCTTTGTTTCATTAGACTGGACCCTTAGAAGACAAAATTCATTTAATCGAAGGAATGTTTTGTTAACTCAAGGATTTTCGGCGGAATGGTCAATGTGACTATGGCTAGAAATTCCTAAGGCGGAAGTCTTGGCTAGGGATTATATCTTATATAACATTTTCTAGTCACTTTGCAGCTCCCTGAAGATCTGATTTCTTGGTTTAGAGGAATGAATAAAAATGAATAAAAATTAGTGAAGAAATCAATTTGCCCGGACGGATCGGTTTCGTTGCTCGGGCTAATCTCACGGATGAGGGGGAATTCCGGGGCGAATGCTAATGCAATCTGTTTTCGTTACCTTTCGGCTTGTTTTTGCATAATTCCAGGTCGGCGGCGCGGCTCTACCCGCGGAGCCGAGTCGTAAAGATTTCCCGGGTTTTATTCCCGGGCCTCCTAAATTAAATGGACCCCTTTTTGTCCCTTTTTCGATCTCGGGATTAAATTAGCTTTATTCCCCGGCTCTGGAAAACAGGTGCAAAATAATGGGATCGTTGCGCCTGCCGACCCAATTGGCGCCAATTGGAGGTCTCGAGGAGGCATAATTAAATCCTTGCACTCGAGCAATGTCGAGGATGTTTGACGGGTCGTGCCCACCTAAGGAGAGGATTTCAAAGGACACCTCGTCCTCCACTGGAGGTCGGGGACATCCTGTACATCGTTGACAAGTAGCCTGGAAGGAGTCGAGTGCACCTGCTGCAACCGATTCCCCGACATTGTCCACGAGTGCACGTGCCACGTCCACCTAATTATTGCGACGTCAAGGTCCCTAGACGGTAATGAGATACCTCTTTTGTCAGAACTCGAACCTCGTCATTTTAATGCCGAGCTTTGTACCCTCCCCAATGATGAATCGCTCGACGAGCATCTTTGCTCTCATCAGTCGAGCTTTTAAAATCCCGGGAAAAAAGGAAGATGTTCTTTCGTCCTTTCTCCTTCCCTCCAATAGAAAGGAACCTCTGTAGAAAATTGACTATAAGGAGAAAATAATTCCTTTACAATTACTATACCAGCATGGCTAAAATATCGTTGCAATATGAACCATGCGGATGATGATCACATCTAATGGTAAATATTCTAGTCCCTAGGCTAGGGAAAATTTCTGGTTTAATTATTCATCAACGTAATTTGATCAGAGGTTCCCTTTCTATGAAAGACTGTACGTAGAAAAATGTGACGTTCCACTTTTAGAACCCTAGTTAGGTTCAATAGAACCCTTGCAGATTTTCCACATGGGTAGTACTCTGTGTACGGATTTATCGGGAATTTTTTTTTTTTTTTTCGCAGTCGGTCGATCGAAATTAATTGCCACGAATTGATCTGAACAGCGCTTGAGGTTCGTCATCGGAAGACCGCGTCGCTTTGGTGGGGATAGTTTGCATCTGAAAGAAGTCATTAGGGAGTTTAATGATTTCCGTATCTTTTTCTCGCATTTCTGGAGTTCGTGGGAGGTCGGGTTTCAGGAATCCTCCGTGATTTACACGGGGATTT